CGTCGTCGTCGTCGGACGCGTCGCTCCGGTTCCGCCGGAGGCGGCCCGCGGGCGGCGCGTCGTCGACGGGCGCCGCGTACTCGAAGAGCGCCGCGTGCGCGCAGGCCGCGGACTTGATCGGGCCGTCGGAGACCACGACGGCCTCGTAGCAGTCGCCCGCGAAGCCCGGCGCGTCGACGTCGAACTCGACGACGACGGCGTCGCCCGCCGCGCGCGCGCGGACGTCGCCGACGACGTCGACGCGCGCGCCGCGGACGTCGACGCGGAGCTCCCGGCACGACGGCGCGACCTCCGCGACGACGGACACGCGGCCGCCGCCGTACGGCACGACGGCCGGCGCCACGGAGAGCACGCGGGGCCGCATCGCGCGCGCCGCGCCGCTCCAGGGCTCCGGCGGAGCCTCCTCCGCCTCCGCCTCCTCCTCGCCCTCGCCGCCGCCCGCCAACACCGCGGCCTGGAGCGCGTTGATCGCGCGGCGCGCGTCGCCGTCGGCCGCGACGGCGACGGCGCGCGCGACGTCGCGCCACTCGTCGACGCCGCCGCCGCGGACGCCCGCCGCGAGCGCCGCGAGGTGCGCCGCGAGGTCGTCGTCGGGGACGTAGGGCACGGCGAAGAACTTGGTGCAGCCCAGCGCCGTCGTGAGCCACCGCCGCTGCGCGTTCGTCTCGTCGCGGCCCAGGCACGCCGTCGCGACGACGGGGCACTTGGAGCCCTGGACGAGCTGGCGGAGCGCGGCCGCGAGCTTTTTGTCGTCGGCGAGCGTCGCGACGTCGACGTCGTCGATGAGGACGAGCGTCCGCGACCCGCGGAGCCGCCGGCTGCTCGTCGCCTCGTGGTAGAGCTCTCTGAGGTCCTTGGGGTCCGACAGCGCGTCGACGCGGAGCACCTCGAAGTTCGCGGCCGCGGCCGCGCGTTTGGCGAGGAGCGTCTTGCCCGCGCCTCTGGGGCCCACGAGCAAAGCGCCGCCGGGCCCCTGGGCCTCGTCGTCGCTGTCGAGGTAGGCGTAGTCCTCGTCGGACAGCGCCGACGCCGCGCTCACGCGGCCCTCGCCCCGCCACTCGGCGTTGAGCCATTCGACGAGGCCCTTGAGCGCGGACGCCGCGTACGCTCCCGCGAGGCCCGCGTCGCGGTCGGCCCAGAGCTCGACGTCGCCCGCGGCGCGGTCGGACGCGGGCGGCGCCGCCGCGCGGCGCCGCCGCCGCGCGACGCGCGGCGGCGCGGCGGGCCGCGGCGGCGCCGGCGCCGCGACGCCGGCGACGGGCGCCCAGGCGCCGCCGCAGCGCGCGAGCGCGGCGGCCGCGGCACCGCGCGCCGCGGCCGCGTCCGCGCCGCCGAGGCCCGCGGCGGCGACCGCCGGCGCGAAGGGCGCGGCGACGGGCGTCGCGGGCCGCGACGCGCGCGGCGACGACGGCCCGTCGTGCTCGCGCTTCCGCGCCTCGCGCTTCGCGAAGAACGGGTTCGCCGCGCCGCCGCCGAAGGACGACGTCTCGACGGCCCGCAGCTTCTTCGCGCGCGCCTCGGCGGCGACGCGCGCGGCCTCGCGCGCCGCCGCGGCCTTGGCCTCCTCGGCCTCGCGCTCCGCGGCGCGCTCCTCCGCGGTCTTCCGCTTGGCGAAGATGGCCGCGACGGGCTTGCGCCGCCGCCGCGGCTTCGGCGCCTCCTCCTCGCTCGACGACTCGCCGGGCGACGACACGTCCTCGTCGTCGTCGGACCGCGCGGCGTCGACGACGGCCTTGCGCGCGGCCGCGCGCCGCGGCCGCGAGCTCGCCGCCGCGGGCGCCGGCGCCGCGGACGCCTCGGACTGCGAGTCGTCGACCTCGATGACGGGCGGCGACGGCGTCGCCTTCCGCTGGAAGATGGCCGCGAGCTTCGCCTTGGGCTTGGCCGGCGCGGGCTTGGCCGGCTCCGGCGCGGGCGGCGCCGGCGCCTCCTGCGCCGGCTCCGCCGCGGCCGTCTTCGCCTTCTTCTTGCGCGGCTGGAAGAAGGCGTGCATGATGCGCGGTTGCCGTTTATGCGTTGCGCGCGGTGCGCGGTTGCCACCGGTCGAGGCGCCCGGCGCGGACGCCGAGTACTCGACTTTGAATTTTCGGCAACTCGTTTTGTTAACTTTTTGGTTGCCTGCGGAGGGCTGGAAAATCGATTTTTTTTATCGACCTCGCGCGGTGGCCCCGTGTCGCCACCCGTCCAAAGCGTCCTTCAGGGATGTTGGAGCTTGTCTGCGATCATGGTAGCTCGTCGCTAGTGAAAAGTTATGCCCGAAAAACCGAGAACATACGTAGGAAGTACGCCGCGGTCCGCGGACGCCGAAAACGTACTGAAATTTTTTTCTCCGGCTTGGCTCTTCGTTGTTGCCGTCGCTGGACGCGCCGTTTGGGGCGTCCCGAACGACCCTCCAAACCCCCAGGGCCACCGCTATGGACACGCTATGCGCCGCGCAGTTCTCCGGATCTATAGAGGAACTCGGTGGATCCCGCTGCAGACCGCGGACGTGCGGATCACGGTCGTAGGACGTGGATCCAACGCTGAGGCGATGGTGCTGGTGGTAGTAGGAGTCCGTCCAGGCCGTATGGCCAGCGCACGCGCGTATTTCATGGCGCCACAGTGGCCTCGAAAGTGCCTCTTTGGAGAGGACCGGTTTGAGCGCGTTGGCGCGGATCATCCAGCCCAGCGGTCGCGTGAGGCTGCGGAGGCCTCGTCCATGTACCACTCCGCCCGGCCATATCGTTCGAAGTGGTCGGATCGACGCCAGTGGGTCCAAACGCCGCGCTCTAGCGGTTTGGCGCCTGCGAGAACGCCTTGGAGCGAGGGTGTGCCACACAGTCCTGAGTACGCTCGAACCTGACCCAAACTTGATTTTCGGTTCCCCGTGACGTTTCCGGAGGTCGCTGTCGCGAATGGGTCAGGACTCACCGTGGAGATCTCGCGCACCTCGACGACCGACCCACCAAATCGGACGTTCCGGCGCACGTTAGAACGCCGCGGCAGCGAGTCGCGCGACGAAAACTTCACGCGCGCCTTCGAGCAAGGTCTTTGGCCGAGCCCCGGACGGCGCGGCGCGGCCAACGAGCACGCGGAACCGCGCCGACGCGGCTGCCTTCGCGCAGCTCTGCGAGGCGCTGTCGTCGTCTCGAGCGTATTTTTTGTCCGACCCTCCGCAGGAAACCAAAAACTTGAGCACAAAGCCGTCCTTGCGCCCGGTCCAGCGGCAGTCTGCAGTCTGGTGGGCTGCTTTGCCGTCGCAGCGCCAGCAGCGCCGCTGCAAGGACCACGCGTCGCGCACCAACCAGCGTCGCCAAACACACGCTGCGCGCACCAACCAGCGTCGCCGAACAACGATGGCCGCGGCGGCGCTGCGCGTCGCGGTCGCGCTCGGCCTGGTTCGCCGCGCCGCGGGCGTGGGCGAGTTTCAGGACTGCATCGCCTGCGGGTCCAACAATTTGAACTGGAAGGACATGGACCACTGCGAGCGCTTCGAGCCGCTGTCGCAGATCGTCTCGTCGTCGAACTTCGAGGGGCGCCACGGCCACGCGAGCGTCGTCTTCCCCTACAACGACCGCCTCGCGCTGTGGGTCGTCGGCGGCCGCGGCATCGCGTACGAGAAGTGGAACTTCGAGGTCACGCACCGGCGGGCCGACGTCTGGGTCTACATCGTCGAGGACCAGCGGTGGCTGAAGATGGAGAACCTGGAGGGCGACTTCTTCGCGCGGACCGACGAGGCGTTCCTCATGGAGGACGTGCTCGACCCGGGCGACGTCGCGCCGTTCTGGGAGCGCTTCGGCCACAGTCTCGACGTCTTCCCGGCGTTGAACGTGTCCGCGACGACGGGCGAGGTCATGGGCAAGATCAACGCCATGGTGCTCCTGGGGGGGTTCACGCCGCGGCCCGACAACGACGTGTGGATGTCCAAGGACGGCATCCGCTGGTTCCGCGTGGGCTACGCGCCCTGGACGGGGCGGGGCTACCACGCGACGGCCGTCTTCCGCGGGCGCCTGTACGTGATGGGGGGCAGCCCGCTGACGAACGACGTCTGGGCCGGCGACTTCAACACGACGGGCTCCGTCGAGACGCCCGCGGGGCGCCGCGACGTCTGGCGCATGTCCTGGGAGGCCATGGCGCCGGGCACGGGCTCCTTCGAGGCGCCCGAGACCTGGAGCATCTTGGACGACGCGCGGTGGTCGCCGCGCGCGGGCCACGGCGCGACGGTGCAATTCTCGATCCGCACGAACGAGAGCCGCGGCGAGACGCTGTATCTGACGGGCGGCCTCGCGTCCTGGCCCGAGGGCCACCCGCTCGAGGACGGCTACCGGGGCACGAACGACGTCTGGAAGACGGAGGACGGCGCGAACTGGACGCGCGTCGTCCGCGCCGCGCCGTGGGCCGCGCGCGCGTGGCACAGCCTCATCACCTGGACGGATTTGACGGACGTCTACGCGGACGTGTCCCTGGCCGCGCGCCAGCCGAACCAGAACGAGCCCGCGGCGCCGCGGATCTGGCTCGCGGGCGGCGGCTACGTCGGCAAGAAGGGCAACAGCGTCGTCGAGTTCGTCGACGCGTACTACGACCTCTGGTGGTCGCGCGACGGCGCGACGTGGACCCAGGTCGGGTCGTCCGAGGGCGCGGGCGACTACTTGTGCTCGTCGCTCGAGGTCTTCAAGCTCGACGAGAACAACTACGTCGGCAAGTACAGCCACACGATGGTGCCCTTCTGGCAGATCATACCGGATGCCCAGGTCTGCGAGACCGTGCAGTACAACCAGTACGGCTTCATCTCGGGCTGCGACGCGCTCCGGGGCGCGGACAGCGCCGAGGGCCCGCGGACGAACCGCATCGTCGTGCCCGCGCTCTACTTCATCGGCGGCGACCCGGGCTACCTCAACGGCCAGAAGCTGTCGCCGTCCAAGGACGTGTACGTGTCGCGCGCGCCCGTGCTCTGCGAGGTCGACGGCCACAAGTGCCCGACGAAGGTCCGCGCGGACGGCGGCGGGCTGGCCGTCGAGACGTTCCAGTACGACGGCGTCGACGACTCCTACCGGAGCCGCGTGAACTGGGATGGCAACAACGACAAGTCGCGGGGCGGCTTCTGCCCGGACCCCATGGCCGCGTGCCCCGACGGCAACCTCGCGACGTGCTCCGAGACGCAGGAGCAGGTCACGTTCTACGTCGCCGCGAACAACACGGGCGATTTGGAGTACCCGGGGCCCCAGGGCTACGCGCCGCGCTACTCCATCGTCAACACGGACAACCGCTTCGCCTACACGGTCTACAACATCACCGAGTACGGATCCGACCAGCGCCACCCGCTCTCCATGGCCGGCATGTACGTCCACGAGGACAACGAGACGTCCTACCTCCAGGGCTTCGTCGCGCGCCTCGAGGGCTGCCGCTGCGCGGAGAACTTCGAGGGCGAGTACTGCGAATCCGGGCCCCTCGACGCCGCGCGCCGGCTCCGGCCGCGCGCGGCGGCCGCGGCCCTCGCGCTGCTCCTCGCGCGCCGCGCCTAAGCCGCCTCCGGGGACCCGCGGGGTTAGCCGCGCGCGCCCTAGAGCGCGTCTCGCCGCGCGAACGTGTCCCGGTCCTCCCGGCGCCGCTTGACCTCGGCGAGCCGGTCCAGCGCCTTGAGGCTCGCCCGGGATCGCCGGACCTCGGCGACCTTGTCCATGGCGTCCTGCACCGTGCCCCGGGCCCGCGCGAGGGCGGCGTCGTGCACGGGCTGGCGCGCGTCCAGCCGCCGGTAGCCTCGCCTGTCGGCTTTCGCGGGATCCGGCTTCGCCCGCTCGCCCTCCTCCTGCACGTGGATCTCCGTCTTCGACACGGTTATTCGTCGGCCCCCCGTCCGTCGCTTCGCGTGGTCGACCTTCTGCTCCGTGGTCATCGATTGGTACCTGCGCGGCGCGCGGCTCGAGACGCACACGCTGCGGCTCGAGTGGACGCCGGCGGCGCACTCCGTCGCCCGCGCCGCTGCCACGCACATCACGGCGAACATGCGACGCATGGCACGCCCACACGCCACGGCCGCGCACGTGCCGCGCGCGGCACCGCCGCGGCCAAGAGACGCTGCCCCGAGCAACGCGGCCCCCTATCGACTACTGGCTCCTTCACTGTTGCTTATGTAAGGTAAAGCTGACTTTTATCGTCCGAGCCCCGGGCCGCCGACTCGAGGAGGTGCTCGAAGTTCGCGATGTAAGGTACAGCTGACTTTTATCGTCCGATGCCCGGCGGCTCGAGGAGGTGCTCGAAGGTCGCGATGAGGCGCGCGCAGTCGTTGATCGTGATGTTCCGCATGAAGCAGAGGTGGTCGCGGACGAGGTTCACGGTCCGGTCGCCCGCCGGGACGCGGACGCGGTACCAGGCGAGGGGCCCGGGCTCCGCGCCGGCCTCGGGGGGCTCGTCGAAGTAGCCCAGGGGCTCCTTGGCGTAGTAGAAGTTGAGCTGGCCGTCGACGTCGACCCAGGGCGACTGCTCGCCCGCGGGCGGCTGCGCGGCGAGCGCCGCGACGGCGACGTCGCGGCCGCCGTCGGAGCCGCCCTCGAAGCCCAGCCGGTCGAGGTGGTCCGCGCGGCCGCAGTCGAGGTCCGGCAAGGGCAGGGGCCTACCGAGCGCGACGGTGACGATGTCTCGTTGGTTTCCCACGCGAAATCTCTCAAAAATCGGCCACAGGACGCTGGCGGGGGCAGCGGCACGTCCGGCCGCGAGCCATAAAGATCAAAAGTAATGGTCGTGCGCGTCCGCAGCGCGTAGACCGCGGCGCACGTCTCCGCCACCGTCGCCTCGCGGTCGTACGCGTGCCGGTCGATGGGCGCGAGGACGCCGCAGCGCGGGTAGCCCCCGCCCGCCACGCTGCCCAGGATGATGTGCACATCGAAGCCGGCGCCGTAGAGCCGCGCGAGCGTCTCGAAGGCGCCGCCGCCCGCCGCGCACGCGCGCGCCGCGTCGTCCTCCACCGAGAGCTCGACGTAGACGAAGTCCGTCCGCCGCAGCGCGTCGGCGCCCCGGGCCAACGCGTCGGCCTCGGCGCCCTCGATGTCGAACTTGGCGAAGAGGACGCGGCCCGCGCCGCCGACGAGCGAGTCGTACGTCACGTCGTCCGGCACGAGGCCCTCGCGGACGTCGCGCGCGGTCGGCGCGAAGCCGTTCAAGCCCAGGGACACGCGGACGAGCTGGGCGAAGCTCGGGTTCGCGTCGACGCTCCGCGTGTCGCAGCCGTGCGCGCGCGCGAGGAGCGTGAAGTAGCCGACGTGCGAGCCGACGTCCGCGACGAGCGCGCCGCCGCCGCAATACCTGGCGAAGATGCCCGACGCGATGACGCTCTCCGCGCCGCCCCAGCGGCCGCGGAACCAGAGCGACGCGGACACGACGCCGAACGCCTCCTCGGCCCAGGCCTCGGGCCCGACGGGCGCCGCGACCCAGAAGGCCGCGCCGCCGGTCTCGTGGTTCGCGCCGATGCGCCGCACGCCGACGCGCGCGCCGACGCCCCAGCCGACGCCCTCGAGCCCCGTCGACGCCGCCGCGTCGTCGTCGATGGAGTTCGCGAGCGCGCAGGCCGCGAGGCAGCCCCAGAGCTGCTTCATGCTGCCGTGAGGGCAATAAAAATTCAACTACACGTCAAGACGTGGTAAACATTAGCGTGGTCCGACGGCCGTCGCGAGGCGCGAGCCGGCCGCAGGACTCGCCTCGACGCGTCTCTAAACGTATTGGGCCCGGGGGGAACCGCGGGAACTCGCCGGGGTTTTGAGGCATGTCTTCGGCCCTGGACCCGCTGCCAACACCAGGTCCTCATGAGACTGAGGCCGATTTGCGCAGTCTGCGTCTGTGTCATGCCGCCAGAGACGGAGATATCGACCAGATGCGTGCGCTGTTGGCGGAGGGAGCGCAGGTTAATTGGTTTTCACGACCGCCTCTGAAAGTGGCTGTGTTGGGTCGCCAACTAGCTGCGGTACAATGGTTGCTCAAAAGTGGAGCCGACGTCAACGTACCGCGCAGGAAGTCGCAAGAAGAGCCCGCGCTTCACGCAGCCGTAAGAGGCGGAGACGATGAGATAATGAGTATTTTGTTAGCGGCTGGCGGGGACGTGCACGCCAAGTGGAACGGGGCCACCGCGCTGCACCATGTCGCTCATTCGCGCGCGAAACCCGCGCGCTGCGCAGAGCTACTGCTCTCGTACGGTGCGCGCCCCGATGACTCTGGCGATATTTTGAGGACGCCCCTCTGGTTCGCAACTTGGAACCGTCGCCGCGACCTGGTCAAGATCCTCCTCCGCGCCGGCGCGCGAATGATCGCCGTCGCAGACCTGCCCAGCCGACACTCCGCCAACGCTTCCGCTTTCGAGGTGCTGGACGCCGTCCGAGCCGCCGGCGGATGGCCGGAATACGTCGTCGCGCACCGCCGCGTTCTCGCCGGCTTGGTCTCCAAGCTCAGCACCCGTCGCCCTCTCCGCCTCGACGCCGCGAGCCGCGTCGTCGCCTTCTACTGCCCCCCGGTTCTAAGAGGTTAGGACGGCGAACCGCCTGGGCACTTCGATGACGGCGTTTTACCCTAGTAGCCGAGTACGAGGTCCGCGCCCGCGTCGAGGACCGAGGGGTGGGCCGTCTTCTCGAAGACCGAGGGCCGCGTGCCCTTGGGGTCGACCTTGGCGCGCGTCGCCGGGTCCAGCGTGCCGTAGACGGCGTCGTAGGTCGCCTTGTCGACGAACGACGACGAGTAGAGCATCTTGATGCCGCCGTGCTTCTTGAGGCACAGGTCGTCGATGCGCTTCGTCTCGGCCATGGCGTCGGCGAAGGAGACGTCGATCTCCGTGTAGGTGCCGAGGTTCAGGTAGAAGTCCTCCTTCGCCGTCGGGTAGTGCGTCGCGAAGTTGCCGCCCGTGCCCACGGGCAACAGCATGTAGGGCACGTTCGGCCGGTGGACGAGGGTCTTCGTCGCCTCGGCGACGAAGTCGACGGCCCGGGACCAGGGCACGGCCCAGTCCTGGACGAAGGGCTGGCCCATGGGCTTCCAGAGCGTCTCGAGCCGGTGCCACGCCTTGATGACCCGGAGGCTCCGGAGCCACTTGTACGTCGACGACGTCCGCAGCTTCCGCGGCACGAGGTACCTCACGAGCCAGCCGCCGGCGTCGACGGGGATGTTCCAGAACCAGTCCGGGTCCCAGCGGAAGTAGTACGTCTCCGCGGCCATCCGCAGCGTCCCCTCCTCGCGGACGGCCTTCCAGTAGATGTCGAGCCCGTCGAAGCGCCGCAGCGTCTCGCCCGCCCGCTGTTCCGCGTAGTCGGACACGGTCACCGTGACGCGGTCCGGCGCCCACCACAGGCCCTCGACGAACTCGTGGCTCGCCGCGGCCTTTCGCATCGCGTCGGCCGCGTCGGCGAAGGAGCCGTAGACGGTCGTCGTCGCCGCGACGACGGGCTTCGACGGCGTCAGCCGCAGGGTCGCCCGCAGCACGTACCCCAGCGTCCCGTAGGAGTTGGGCAGCGCGTGGAAGACGTCCGCGTGCTCGCCGTCCGGGCCGCACGCGAGGATCGCGCCGCCGGGCGACAGCACCTCCGCGGAGACGAGCGCCTCGTGGAACCAGCCGTGGCGGAAGGAGCCGGACTCGATGCCGACGCCGGAGATGGCGCCGCCGACGGTGATGTGCTTGAGCTCGGGCACGATGGGCAGCCGGTAGCCGAGCGGCTCGAGATGCGCGACGACCGTCTCCATGGTCGCGAGGCCCTCGACGTGCGCGACGGGCCCGCCGGGCGCGTCGGCGTCGACGCCGATGACCCCGTCGAAGCCGCTGAGGTCCACGCGCGCGCCGCTCGGCGCGTCGGCGCCCTTGACGCGGTGGTACTCGAAGCGGTTGCCCGTCGTCGTCTTCTTGATGGAGGCGAAGCCCTGGGCCGCGCCCGACGCCACGAGGTCCGCGACCTTGTCGTCGTAGCTCCGGCGCGGCGGCGCGGACTGCCGGCTGCAGAGGATGGCGCCCATCGCCACCAACGCGGCGAGTTTCACCAACAGCATCGATGGCGCTGCGTGCTAATTCACGGCACCGTCGCGTTCTTGACGAGATCTTGACGCTTCTAATTCGGGGCTGCTATCCAATGGCCGCCGGGCCGTAGCATAGCTGGCTGCGAGACCGGACTGAGACGGACCGCAGCAGAGCATGGCCTCCGAGAACCCGCTCGTCGTGCTGCTGCACGCGCTCGTCGTCATCGCGCTCGTCCACGCCCTCGGCTTCTGGTTCAAGTGGTCCGGAAGGCTCGATGCCTCCGTGGAAAAAGGCCTCAGCGCCTTCCTGTTCAACGTGTCGCTGCCGGCGCTGCTCTTCAAGTCCATCGCGACGATGCGCTTCGGCAGCATCAACGGCCGCATCTTCGTCGGCGTGCTCCTCGCCAAGGCGCTCCTCGCGGCGGTCTGCCGCGTCGTCGCGCGCTGCGTCTACGGGCCCTCGGCCATGGGCGCCGTCGCGGGCCTCTTCGCGACGAACAGCGACGATCTAGCGCTGGGGCTGCCCTGCTTCACGGCGCTCTTCGGCGCCGAGAAGGCGCAGCTGCTCTACGCGCTCTGCGCGACGCAGTCGCTTACCCTGAACCCGGCGCTCTTCGTCGCGCTCGGCGTCGGCGCGCGGGCCGAGCCGGCGACGAAGGCGCGGCGCTGGCGCCGCCTCCTCGCCGTCGCCCGGTCGACGGCGCGGGGGCTGTTGGCGAACCCGCTCGTGCTCGGCGTCGCCGTCGGCCTCTTTTACAACGGCGCCTTCCGGCTCCAGGCCGCCGCGCGCGGCCGGCCCGCGCCGCCGGCCCTGCCGACGATCTTGGACGACTTCGTCGCGGTCCTGGGCGCCGCCTTCACGCCCTGCGTCCTCTTCGTCGCCGGCGCGTCGATCGTCGACTCCTACGCGTTCGCGTTCGGCGGCGGCGCCCGCGCGACGGAATCGGACGACGGCGCGTCCGCGCTGCGGCGCGTCGCGAGCCCCCTCGCGCTCGTCATCATCAAGATCGTCGCGCTGCCGCTCGCGGCGCGCTTCATCGTCGAGGCGCTCGGTGCGTCCGTGGCCGCGCAGGACTACGTTTTTTTATACGGCGTCCTCCCGACGGCGAACGCGGTGCTCGCGATCGTCCGCGGCGTCGGCGTCGACGGCCCCGCGGAGCAGCTCGTCGCGACGGCGCTCCTGCTCTGCAAGCCCCTGAGCTTCGTGGCGCTCTTCGGCTGCGCGGCCCTCGTGTCCGCGCGCGACGACGTCCAGGACGTCTTGGCGACCGCGGCGTCGACGCTCGCGGTCTTCTCCGTCGGCGCGGGGTGCTGGGTCCTCTTCGGGCGGGCCGTCGTGCACGCGCGGGGGGGTCGCAGCTCGCGCGCCTTCCGCGACGCGCACATCGCCGCGGCGCTCGCGATTTTGCACGGCTCGACGTACCTCGCCGTCGCCGCGACGTCGACGCGGTCCTTCGTCGAGGGCCGCGGCGGCGGCTGCGGGCGGCGGCGCGCGCTGTTCACGGTCGTGTCCGTGCCCCGCTGGGCCTGTGACGCCTTCCTCGTCTGCGTGGCCCTCGACGCGGCCGCGGCCGCGCGGCGCCGCGCGGCCGCGAAGCGCGAGACGCTCGAGGCCGCGGGGACGGTCGACGCCGCGGCGACGGTCGAGGCCGCAGGGACGGTCGACGCCGCGGCGACGACGAGCGCGGTCCACGCCGCGCGCGCCGGTGGCGAGGTGGCCGACGCAGCCGTCGCGGCGCCGCCGTCGCCGCCGGCGTCGACGCGGAGCCGCGGCGGCTCGGAGCGGAGCTCGGCCGGGCGCGGGCGGCCGTCGAAGCTCGGGGCCCGCGTCGCGCTGTCGGCGGCCGTCGCGCTGGGCGCGACGCTGCCCTGGACCGCGCGCTGCGCGCCCCTCGCGCGGTCCGAGCGCGCCGCGGCGCTCCTCGTGCCCTTCGGGCGCGCGCAGGAGCGGACGTACGCGGCGCTCTACGCCGCGGGGGCCGCGGTCGTCGCGCTCTGCCTGCGGCCCATCTTCCTCGACGCGGGCGGCGACCGGCGCACGGGCGACACGCTGCGCATCGGGAGCCTGCTCGTCGTCGCGCTCCTGCGCTTCGTCGCGGGCGCGTCGCTCATGACGTCGGTGCTCCACGAGGCGAGCCTGGGCCGCACGTCGGCGTTCCTCTACCTGTTCTTCGCGGTGCTGGGCCACGGCCAGGGCATCTGCGTGGCGCTCCTCTTCGGCTTCGCGCCCGACGTGCTCGAGGCCCTCGCGGCGCTCGGCGGCGTGCTCCCGAGCCTCCGGGCCGTTACGACGCGGACCCGGATCTCGCGCTCGCGCGCTGGAACTTCGGCACGGCGAAGGACTTGTTGTTCCGGCGCGCGCGCGCGCCGCCGCGCGCTCCGCGCGTCCATCGTCGAGCTGCGCAACTCCGTCTCGCCGCGCGTGCCCCGGACCGACTCCGACGCGTCCCTCGACTCCCTCGAGGACGCCGCGCGCCGCTCGGAAATCGCCGCGGGCAACCTGCTGCCCCTCTGGTAACGGCATCTTGCACTTCAAGTGCTTTTGCTGGCATCCTCGAGTTTCGCGTGCCATCCTCGAGCACTTCGCCGCAAAATTCGCCAGCAGATCCCAGCTCTGGGCAGCCTCGCCGCCGGCCGCGCGAACGATTCTCGCGCACCTCACGGTCATGGACTTTTGCGGCGCGCCGGGGGACGTGTCGGACACGCCCAAGGACATAGTGGAGAGCGTGCGGCTCGAGATGAGTTCGCCGGCGAAGCCGCCGGCCAAGGTCGCGGGCCCCCTCATGGAGATCGAGAACGTCGAGTCCTTCGAGGAGAGCCGCCTCGAGTGCCTCGCCCAGTCCGAGGGCCTGACGATCCAGGAGCGCGACCTCGAGGCCATCCGGAGCTTCTTCGACAAGATCTTTTTTTGGGCGGAGAACGCGATCGCCACGGACGGCAACGCGCCCTTCAAGGCGCTGGCGCTCATCTTCGCCACGCTCGTCGTCCTCTTCGCCTTCGCCTGGTACTACGTCGTCAAGTTCGACAGCAAGACGGGCATGCACCCGAAGCACCTCGCGCGGCGGTCGCTCGTGTCCAAGGACGACCGCCAGGACGTCTACGGCTACGGCGACCTCGTGGACTCGTTCTGGCTGAGCCTGCTCGTGCTGTCCACGGGCGGCCACGACGACTCGCTGCCGGCCATCTTCTCCGTGCGCATCGTCTACTTTGGGGGCATCCTCATCGGCCTCGTCATCTTCGCGATCCTCGTCGGCTTCATCACGGACGCCGTCGTCAACTTCATGGACGGCCTCGCCAAGGGCAAGTCCAAGGTCATCATGAACGGCCACACGCTCGTCCCGGCGTCCTGCGGCCGTGACGATTTTCGAGAGTTTTGACCGGGAAAACGATGAAACATCGTTACCGACGTGCTTTGTAGGCTCGTGCTGGGCTGGAACGAGGCGACGATCCGCCTCGTCTGCCAGCTCGCGTTCCTCCGGCGCCAGTACCTCATGTCGAACGAGACGTGGGCGAAGCGGCTCATGCCCTGGACCGTCGTGCCCCCGTCGACGCCCTGCGCCGCGGCGGACATCGTGATTCTGGCCTACGGCAAGGAGAAGGAGGAGATGGACGCGCTCCTCGAGACCGCGCTCAGCGAGCGGGGCATCGACCCGCGGCGCACGCGCGTCGGGAGGAACATCATCTGCCGCGTCGGCGACCCGACGGACGTCCACGACCTGCTCAAGGTCGGCGCCCAGTCGGCGACGGCCATCGTGACCATGATGACGGAGGACGACAAGGAGGAGGAGGACCTGAGCGAGGGCGCGATCGCGAACGGGTCGACGCTCCGCGTGCTCCTCGCGCTGCGCCACGTGCTCCTCGCGAACAAGGGCCTCATGGCCATCCGGAACATCGTCATGCAGCTCAGCGCCCCGAGCACCTACATCGACGCGGCCTGCTTCCGCAACGAGCAGGAGGCCGTCGTCGTCTACCCGCTCGACCTCTCCGTGTTCCTCAACTCGCTCATGTTCTCCTGCGGCGCGACGCCGCGCCTCGCGAAGACCATCCTGGAGCTGGTCAACTTCGACGGCTTTTCGATCCGCCGCCGCAAGTCGACGCTCCTCGTGCCGGGGGGCGTCGTCGGCCTCACGTTCCGCGAGGCCATGAATCGCGTCGACAACGCGGTCCTCATCGGCGTCTGCGACGCCGACGAGGCGAACCGGCCCGGCGACGGCCTCGTGCCGGACCCGGAGCGCAAGATCGGCCCCAACGACCTCATCATCTTCGTCGCCGTGTCGTCGCTGCCCGACGAGCTCGAGGACGGCCCCGCGAAAGTCGCGCGCGACGACGCGGCCGCGCGGAAGCTCGAGCCCGCGGACCCGGACGTCGCGGCCCGCACCTACCGCAAGAACCTGCTCATCTGCGGCTGGCGGCCCATCTGGACCGACGACCCGAAGCGCCTCGTGTCGCGGCTCGAGCAGCTCACTGGCGACCTCGAGGCCGGGTCGACGCTCACGTTCGTGAACCGCGTGCCGCCCGAGCTCTTCGGCGAGCTTTTAGGCGCCTGCGGCTTCGCGGCCGTCGGCGGCGACGTCGCCGGCCAGGACCCGGCCTTTTCGGCCATCCACAGGGAGGCCGGCGGCGGCACGTGGCTCACGCCCGTCAAGGTCACGCCCGTCCGCGAGTCCGGCGGCATCGTCGTGCGCCACTGGCCCGGCGACGCCTGCGCCGACGCGGTCCTGGGCCCCCTGCTCCGCACGGTCGACTTCGACGTCGCCATCGTCCTCGGCACGCAGGGCCGCGCGGCCGGCGCGCCGCTCCCGCCGCGGTCCTGCGACACGCGCGTGCTCAACATCCTCCTGCTCATGCGCGACATCCAGAAGCAGAAGGGCAGGGACGCCAAGACGCTCCAGGTCATCACGGAGAACCAGCAGGACTCGACGGCGCTCCTCGCGCTGCCGCCGCTCGGCGGCGGCGCGGCGACGAACCGCGCGGACTTCATCAACACGCAGGCCATCTACGCGCGCGCGCTCGCGCACACGCTGGCCTACCCGGCCATCGCCCACGCCGTCGGCGAGCTCTTCGCCGACGCCGCGGGCTCCGCGTCCGTCGACCTCGTCTGGGCGACGGCGTTCGTGCCCGTCGGCGCGCCCGTGACCTTCGGCGCGGTCCAGCAGCGCGTCATGCTCGGCCTCGAGGACACGCTCTTCGAGAAGGAGCACCCGGGCGGCCAGACCTCCGCCATCTGCATCGGCTTCCTCGACGGCGACACGGACAAGCTCACCTTCGCGCCGTCCGTCGACTCGACGACGGCCTACAAGGCCAACGACCGCCTCGTCCTCGTCACGCGCGACGTCCCGCCGCCGGAGGCGCCCTAGGGCCGCGCGCTCGCCCTTCCCCGGCGCCGCGTAAGGCGCTCCCTTTGTCGCACCTCGCACCTCCTCGCGACTTGTCCGAGTCCGGCGAGACTCGCCGAGCGCCAAAAATCTGCCAAAACCCGCCGCTCGATCATGGACTCGGGGGACGCGCAGAGCGACACGAAGGACTCGGGAGACGCGCGAGGCGACACGAAGGACTCGGGAGACGGCGAGATGAACGAGCCTGAGTGGATGGTGAAGAAGCGCGAGTATGAACAGCGGATGGCCCGGGTGAAGAACGCCAAGCTCCGCACGCTTTGCACAATTTGCTCGGCGAAAGCGAAACTCCCATGCCCCTGCGGCACGGCTCAATATTGTACGGTCGCGTGCCAAAAGGTCGACTGGCGCGATCGGGGCCATCGCGTCTCGTGCAAGAAGATCCGAAACGAGCGCGCGGCGGAGGCGGCGCGGGCCGAGGCGCCGCCGTCGCCCCCGAAGCCCGTCTTCTATGGCCCCGCGCCGCGGTCGCACGCCGACGAGATCCGCGCGCGGATCGCCGCGGAACACGAGGCGGCTCGCGCGCGGCGCGAGGCGAACCCGGAGCCCGAGCCGACGTCGGCGCGGTTTGGAGGGCGCTGCCCGATCTGCATGGAGAAATGGGACGTGAATAACAAAGCGATGCTTCGCGGCTGTTGCTGCCAAAAGATCTGCGTGTCGTGCGCGGACAAGTTTGATCAAAAGCCATGCCCTCTTTGCCGAGCGCCGTTTCCGAGAAGTCATGCGGATATTCTGGCTCAGATTCGTCGGCACGTGGACAACGATGTGCCGGAAGCGATCAAGACTCTCGGCGACTACTACTTCTTCGGTCACATGGGCCTGGTGAAATCCGCGAAGAAGGCCGCGAAGCTCTGGAAGCGCGGCGTGGAGCTCGAAAACGTGGACTCAATGGTGAATCTCGCGCATTTGTACCAACAGGGGGATGGTGTCAAATTGGACCTTCGAAAGGCGCTGCAGCTCATGCGCATCGCAGCGGAGCGGGGCGACGCGAACGCGCAACAAAGGACTGGGATCCTTCTGCACCCTCTCGGTCACAGCGGACTTGGAACGCCACACGAAGCGTTTCGTTACTACAAAATGAGTGCAGATCAAGGCCACAAGCTTGCAACGTACTTCGTCGGAGTGGCGTACCGGCGCGGAGAGGGCGTGGATCAAGACGAGGAGGAGGCCTGTCGCTGGTGGGAGCGCGGGGCCGCCCTGGGCGACGAAGGCTCCCGGCAGATGCTCGCGAATTTGCGCGCGCAGATGCCTCCCTGACCCGCTACTAGTAGCAGTAGATTTCTCATTCGTTAGTATGGCACAGGACCGCTGCGAGAGCGGTCTGGGGGATGTGTGCAGGTGCTGGACAACAGTGGGGGGGGGTTCCTGCCTGCCCGCCGGCGCTGGCGGCCGGCGGGGGTCGCCTCGGGTTTGTCCGATTCAATCAAGCGAGTGGCCAAAACCTGAGCGCGTAAAACGGCTGGTGTAAAGACACATCATGATGAACTCGGGGGACGCGCAGAGCGACACGAAGGGCTCGGGAGACGGCGAGATGAACGAGCCTGAGTGGATGGTGAAGAAGCGGGAGTATGAACAGCGGATGGCCCGGGTGAAGAATGCCAAGCTCCGCACGCTTTGCACAATTTGCTCGGCGAAAGCGAAACTCCCATGCCCCTGCGGCACGGCTCAATATTGTACGGTCGCGTGCCAAAAGGTCGACTGGCGCGATCGGGGCCATCGCGTCTCGTGCAAGCAGATCCGAAACGAGCGCGCGGCGGAGGCGGCGCGGGCCGAGGCGCCGCCGTCGCCCCCGAAGCCCGTCTTCTATGGCCCCGCGCCGCGGTCGCACGCCGACGAGATCCGCGCGCGCATTGCCGCTGAGCACGAGGCCGCTCGCGCGCGGCGCGAGGCGAACCCGGAGCCGGAGCCGAAGTCGGAGCGGTTCGGGGGGCGGTGCCCTATCTGTCGCGAGGAGTGGGGCGTGAATACTCCGGCCCTGATTCGGGTGTGTTGCTGCCGGAAGATCTGTGCGTCGTGCTCGAGAAGCGTCCAGTACAAGCCATGCCCTCTCTGCCGCGCACCGTGGCCGACCAACGATGCGGAATGTTTGGCCTTGGTTCGTCGTCACGTGCAGAACGAGGTGCCGGAAGCGCTGTGGTCTTTGGGGAATACGTACTTCTACGGTGATCAGGCTGTCGTAAAAAACCAGTGTCGGCGCGCGTGACCTACGGATCTGTGAGCCACGCACCCACGCAGGTGAAATCTTCGAAGAAGGCCGCGAAGCTCTGGAAACGCGCCGTGGAGCTCGGAAACGTGGACTCGATGATGAACCTCGGCTATTTGTACGAAGTTGGGGATGGCGTCAAACAGGACACTCGCAAGGCGCTGCAGCTCTATCGTATGGGCGGCGACAGGGGAGACGCGAACGCGGCATGCAAGGCTGGAAAACTTCTGCACCATCTCGGCGTCGGCGGACTCGGGACGCCACAGGAGGCCTTCCGCTACTACAAAATCGCCGCAGAAGCGGGCGTGACGGAGGCGATTTTCTACACCGGAGTAGCGTACCGGCGCGGCGAAGGCTGTGACGAGGATGAGGAGGCCGCTTTGCACTGGTTCGAGCGCGGGGCCCTGGGAAGCGACCTGGGAAGCGAAAAGTGCCGGAACAGCCTCGCGTTCATGCACGCGTACATGGCGATGCCTCCCTGACCCGCTACTAGTAGCAGTAGATTTCTCATTCGTTAGTATGGCACAGGACCGCTGCGAGAGCGGTCTGGGGGATGTGTGCAGGTGCTGGACAACAGTGGGGGGGGGTTCCTGCCTGCCCGCCGGCGCTGGCGGCCGGCGGGGGGGGGAGCGCGGCGCGGGCGTGTCGTGGGCGCGGCGGCGCGGCGCGGGGCGCGCGCGCGGCGGCGTTCGTGCTTGGCGGCGGCGCGCGCGGCCTAGTTCTTGGGGAGGCGCTCGACGTGGTCGTCGACGATGGGCGGGTCGATGAGGCCCGCGCGCTGGAGGCCGAGGTGGAAGAGCATGAAGACCGTGGCCATGCCGAAGGCCGTCGTCCAGGCCCAGGAGAAGTTCGTGTCGTCGTCGATCTTCGGGTAGAGGCCCACCATCTCCGGGCCCATCTTGCCCGAGGCGCTGGAGCGGTTGTAGATCGTCGGGATGCCCGTGAGGCCCTGGACCGCCGTGGCGATCGCGCAGAGGATCGCGCCGCGCGCGAAGTCGCGGTCGATGCAGTAGCAGAAGATGGCCGTCATGAACAAGGTCCACCACTCGCCGCCGCCCTCGCCCATCATCTTGATGCCCATGCCGACGTCGCCCCAGTTGCCCGCGTCGGGGGAGTTCCACCAGGCGTCGGGCCCGCCCGGGGGCAGGTCCTTGTGCTTGATGTTCTGGAGGTAGAAGTTGAAGTCGTCGAGCTCGTCGGGGGGGCTCGCGTGCTTGTAGGCGTTAGCGCCGCTGTTCCACGGCACGCCCGGGTCGATGTAGAGCTTGGCCCAGTTCGCCATGCAGGCGAAGAGGCCGAAGAAGATGGCCGGGTAGTAGCGCGGCGGGTTGTCCTCGATCGCCTGGCGGCACATGAGGAGCCCGACGAAGACGAGGAGCGCCTTCGCCGCGCAGTTGGGGATGACGCGGTAGACCGTGGCGAAGAGGCCGGACCAGAGCAGCCCCGCGTAGAGGACGCCGTTGATGATGGAGTAGCCGCGCCGCGCGCCGAGCGACTTGTGGATCGGGTGGCCGATGTAGACCGTCGTGCCGAAGAAGGAGCCGAAGCACGCGCCGAGGCACGTGCCGACGCCGTCGACGATCATCGTCTCGACCATGGGGTAGTCGTCGCCCGCCGCGGACGCCGACTCGACGCAAGCGAGCGTCGCGGCGAAGCCGACGACGCCGACGACGAGGATGATGCCGAAGTAGTACTTCATCTCGTCCCACTTCAGGTAGGACAGGTCGAAGATGCCGTCGCCCCAGGCGCCGATCTCGCCCGCGTAGGTGCGGTACGCGTACTTGGCGTCGTGCTTCGACGTGCCCGTGCACGTCGACTTGGTCCACGAGTCGCCGAACATGCTGTGCGTGCCCGCGTTGGACGGCGACCGGCCGAACCACGTCGTCGCGTAGGAGTCGCCGTAGTTGTACATCTCGATGGCGCTGTTCTCGTGCGTGCAGCCGCCGACCCAGCCGATGAGCACGGAGAGGCAGATGGCGACGAGCGCGACGGGGATCGTCACGCCCGTGGAGCCGATGCGGTAGCGGACGCCGCCGAAGAAGCCCGCGAGGACCACGAGGAGCGGCACGATGCAGAGGACGGGCTCGGCGCTGATCTTGATGATGGGGTCGAAGGCCAGGTAGACGAAGCCGACGCCCGTCATGAGCGAGTACATGGCCGGCGAGGGGACGTGCGCGCGGACGAAGGGCCCCGCGACGCTCCCCGCCATCTCGACGAGGCCCGTGAGGAAGTTGGCGCAGACGGCGAGCTTGAAGGCCTTGTCCGCGACGTCCTTGCCCGCGCCCTTGGGGTCGCCGCCGAACATCTTGTCCAGGTTCTTGCTGTCGTAGAGCTGGTTGAAGAGCGCCGTGAGGTTGATCGCGCCGAGCGTGATGAACGCGCCCGTCGTGTTGATGCCGTAGGGCTGCGCCGTGACGTCCGTGCGGCCCTCCTTGTGCGCGAGGCGGCCCGCCATGTAGCCGTAGTAGACGTTGCCGAAGAGGAGGCCCACGGCGACGCCGGGGATGCACCGCTCGTAGTAGAGCGTCGTGTACCGGTCCACGATGGCCGTGGAGTAGGCTCCGGTGGCGTCGAGGCCTGGGCGCGGGGGGGGGGATCGGGGCGCGCCGCGGGCGGACCGGATACGCGTTCGAACGAGCGGCCTCCTCGAGAGCGCGCGGGGCCTCGAACCGGCGCGGGGGCGCCGGCGCCGGACCGTTGGCCGCGCCCCCGATGAGCACGTTGAGGAAGAAGCCGAGCATGAGGTCCGTGACGGAGAGCAGCGTCGCGAGGTTGTCGAAGAAGAGCTCGCCGAGCGCCTCCGCCTCGCCGGAGCCGGTCCAGAGGGTCGCCAAGCCGCCGTAGTCCGTGTTCCACGTGAGCCTGCGTGGGTGGGCGACTCGACGGTCGCGCCTCGGGGGAGGGGGGGGGTGTCGGCGCCGCGACGCGCCAGGGCGTGTCGCCCCACCAGGAGATCGGGTTCTCGATGGCGGAGCGCTCGGGGCGCGCCTGGTGGAGGTTGCAGATTGGCCCCTCCCCCGACTCGATCTCGACGGCCTTCTCCATGCTTGACGAGTTACGCGCGTGTACGCGAGCTCACGGGTCCGATTTCGCGCGCGACAGACTGTTTCTGTGAGAGCCCAGTTCGAGAGCCGATTTTTTGGGCACTTTTTGTGTGCCAACACAGCGATATTTTTTTCAATCACGCCGGCAGCCGTGCGGCCCGAGAAAAGCCCAGATTAAAACATTACGCCGCCCCCCCCAGGGACGTCCCGTCGAGCAGCACGACGTCCATGCCGCCGCCGTTGGGGAACGCGAGCGCGGCGGATCGCGCGGGCGCGAGGTCCTTGGGCGCCCAGCCGAGGCACAGCAGCCGCCGCCCCCGGCGGAGGTGGGCGAGGATCAGCGGGAGCACGCGGTCGAGGGCCTCGGGGAGGAGGTACATGGCCAGGAGCGTCGTCTCCGCGAGCGCGGCCGCGACCTCCGGGGACGGGGGCTCCGTGACGTCGCAGCGGAAGAACGCCGTCCGGTGGCCGACGCCGCGGCGCCGCGCCTCGGCGTCGGCGGCGCCGACGAGGTGCGGCTCGAGCTCGAGGCCGTAGCCGCGGGCCGCGCCGAATTTTGCTACCGCGTACGTCGCGAGCCTCCCGTCGCCGCAGCCGACGTCGCAGACCACGTCGCCCGGGCCGACGCCCGCGAGCCCCAGCGCGCCGTCGAGGAAGGCCGCGGGCGTGCCCAGGTACGGCGCGAGCGAGTCGCCCTCGACCCAGGTCGGCAGGCCGTCGCCGTCGTCGTCGTCGTCGTCGTCGACCCAGGGGGGGCAGAGCTCGTCGTCGCCGAAGCGCGGCGACGCCTCCGGCGGCGGCGGGACGTCGCCCGCCGCGGCGTAGACGACGACGTCGTAGTCGCGGCCGCCGGCGTCGACGAGCGCGGACCGCTCGACGGCCCAGCCGCGCGCGGCCGCGACCGCGGCGAGGCACGGCGCGCCGTTGCCCGCGCGGACGCCCTCGGGCGCGTCGTCGGCGAAGACACCGCCGACGCGCGCCGTCGAGACGACGACGAGGCGCCCCGCGGGCTCCAGGACGGACCGGACGGCCGCGAGGTACCTCTCGACGGCGCGCCGGCTCTCGCGGTACCCGAAGAGCGCGTCGGACGTGCCCTTGTCGAAGACGACGTCGACGCGCGCGCCGCCGCCGAAGAGCGCCGCGACGGCGGCGCCGTCGAGGGCCCGCGCGTCGGCGACTGCGAAGCGCGCCGCGTCGGTCTCTCGCTGGAGCGCGATTGCCGCCGCGGAGACGTCGACGCCCCGCGCGTCGTGGCCCGCGGCCACGAGCGCGGCGACGACGCCGGACGTGCCGCAGCCGCAGTCCAGGATCCGCAGGGACCCGGCGAGCGTCGGCGCGAGCGCGGCCTCGAGCGCGGCGAAGCCGCAGAAGGAGTCGCGGCGCCCGCAGCGCGCGAAGAGCTCGTCGTACTCCGCCGGCGACGGCTCGAGCGCCGCGGCCCGCGGCGCCGCGGCGACGAGCGACGACGCGGACACCCAGCCGCGCAGGGGCGCGACGACCTCGGCGCGCCGCGTGCCGTCGACGGCGACGCCGGCGGCGCCGGAAGCCGTCACGGCCGTGTCGCGCGCGAGCGTGCCGACGATCGCCGTCGTCTTCTCGACGCCCGCGCGGACCAGCGCGCCGGCGCGGCCGCCGACGCGCAGCTCCATGAAAGCTCTGGCGGTCGCTGAGGGTGCAGCTCGATTCACAGCAGTCCCATCCTCTTTCCACACTTCAAGTTGGCGAGAGCTTTTTTGTTGGCTTCGAGCCCTCGCGAACAAACCAAACGCGCGTCGTCGAGGTCCAGCCAGCGAATCCGGCGACGCGTGAATAGGAGTCGTGGGGCTTCTTCCCTTTTCACGCGCCGGGAGGAGTGCAAAAACGACGTGGGAGGGGCTCCAGGGCGTGGTCCCGGGGCAGACCGCGAGCGGGAGGGCGCTCTAGGGAGGCGCGCGCAGCGGAAGTCTAGCGTGGATATGAGTTTAATGGGCGCGCGCGCGACGACAGGCGCGGGAGGAGCGCGGGGGGTCGAAAAACAGGCGCGCGCCCAGGGTCGCGAAGTCGGCCGCTCGCTCGCGAGTCCGCGAAAAGTCTTCCCGCGAAAGGGTGGTGTTCGAAAACACCGGTGGTTGAGAGTGGTGGCGCCGCGGAGCGCGCCGTGCGCCGGACTTGTAGCCAGGGCCGGCCGGCGCCGGTCGACGCGCGCGCGGAGCCGTCGAAGGCGCTTAGGCCTTGGACTTGGACTTCTTGGGGAGAAGCACGGCGTGGATGTTCGGGAGAACACCGCCCGACGCGATCGTGACCGAGCCGAGGAGCTTGTTGAGCTCCTCGTCGTTGCGGACGGCGAGCTGGAGGTGGCGGGGCACGATGCGCGCCTTCTTGTTGTCGCGGGCGGCGTTGCCCGCGAGCTCGAGGATCTCCGCGCAGAGGTACTCGAGGACCGCGCCCATGTAGACGCCGGCGCCGACGCCGACGCGGCCGGCGTACTTGCCCTTCTTCAGGAAGCGGTTGAGGCGCGCGACCGGGAACTGGAGCCCGGCCTTGGCCGCCTTGGAGGTGCCGGCCTTGCCGGACTTCTTGCCGCGTCCACCCTTTCCTTTGCCAGACATGATGTGATGTGTGTTGTACCTGGGGCGGGGGGACGGTGAGCGAAGGCGTGCGGGGGGCGCGAGGGGGCGCGCGGCGGGCGGCGAACGGACGCGGGTCGGCACGAGTTGGTTCGTAAACTGAGAGACGACCAAAATCGCCTCCGGCCGACCGGCTCGCTCCGCACCGGAAGTACAAAAATCTTTTCGTCCGACCAATCGTCAAGCCGGATTTCAAAAGGTTGACGTCAATTTGACCTTTTTATCGGCTCGCTGCTTCGGAAGTACAAAAATCTTTTGTCCTCCGAGGCGATTTTGGGTTCTCTCAGCTTTGCAAACCACACGCAAATCATCAAAATGGCCAAGACTCCCTCCAAGAAATCCGCCAAGGCGCCCAAGAAGGCCGCCGGCGGCAAGAAGAAGAAGACGCGCGTCGAGTCGTACTCCACGTACATCTACCGCGTGCTCAAGCAGGTGCACCCCGACACGGGCATCTCCAAGAAGGGCATGTCGATCATGAACTCGTTCATCAACGACATCTTCGAGCGCATCGCCCTCGAGGCCTCCAAGCTCTGCCGCTTCTCCAAGAAGGCGACGCTCTCCTCCCGCGAGATCCAGACCGCGGTCCGCCTCATGCTCCCCGGCGAGCTCTCCAAGCACGCCGTCTCCGAGGGCACCAAGGCCGTCACCAAGTTCTCGTCCTAAGCGCGAACTCGGCGACCGCGACCGTCGCCCCTCCTCGGGGGAGCGACGCCGTCGCGTCGGTCACCACCCACAACCACACCGGTGTTTTCGAACACCACCCTCTCGACGGAAGACTTCGCGACCGCTCGACGCGCTCGCGACGGCCCAGGCGGGGCGTCGGCGACGCGCGCGCGCCCCCCGCGCCCCGAGAGGAGGTGCGGTCCATCGCGTTCGCCGCGCGAACGCGTCCGGTCGCCGCGCGGCCGGGGCGACGCGTTCGGGCGGGGGTTCGCCGACTTGTTCGCGTCGACTGCGACTCCGCCGCCATACGCGCTCCACCTCCCCTTCTCTTCTTCCCTTCCGCTCCCGTATCAATTTAAAACACTTCATGTCTATGTCGCACGCTTACGCACCGATGCGTCGAGCGCTCCAGGTCGGGACCGCGTCTAGGACGTCGTCGGGTCGTCGCCTCACGCGTCGCGCATCAATGAGAGACGTATCATCCGCGCCGCTAGGGGCCTAGACGAGCGTCGCGCGCACGCCCGACGCGTCGCCGTTGATGCGGTCGCGCGCGGCGACGGCGTGCTCGCGCGCGTCGAAGGGCACGCGGCAGCGGCTGCCGACGGGCTGCGGGACGCGGCCGAGGCGGACGCTCGCGTCGTGGCCGTGGCAGAGGTCCTTGACCTGCTTCCAGTCCATCTCCCCCACCCCCTCGAGGTCGAGCGCGGCCGAGTCATTCTGGTCTCTGGGTCGACTCACCTGGACGGTGCGCTCTCGCGCGGCCTCGCCGCGGCGTCCGCCCGGGCCGCCGCGCTCCCGCCTCGGGAGCCAGGCGTCGTCGGGGCTCAGGGCCTCGAAGGCGCCCGCCCCGCGCGGCTCGCCGTCCGCGCCGAGGACGGCGAAGGGGAGCGGCAGGCTCCCGAGCTGGACGTTCGTGAGGACGACGCCGAGCTGGAAGCCGCCGCGGCGCCACCCCGGAGCCGAGAGGTTCGCGCTGCCGACGTAGACGAAGCCGCGGCCGCCGCGGCCCGCGCGCGCGACGAGCTTCGCGTGCGACGGCTCGTGGCCCGGCGCCCCGTCCGGCCGCGCCGCGACGAAGCGGACGAGCGCGGCGCCGCGCTTCTCGGCGACGCCGACGAGGCCGCCGCGCGTCGCCGCGTAGGCGCCCCCGAGCCGCGGGGCGTCGCCGCGGCGCGGCCAGTGCACGAGCGCGACGTCGCAGTCGTCGGCCTTGAGCCGGAGCGCCTCCGTCGCCGGGCTCGCGCCGTGGAACGACGAGTAGCAGTGCGTCGGGTCCGCCGCGTCGAACGCGCCGGCCATGCGCGCCGCGACGACGGCCTTGAGCCGCTTCGCGCCGATGGCCTCGCCCGGGGACAGGGCGTCGACGCCCCGCGTCGCCTCGGCGACGGCGCGCGCGAACTCCGAGGGCACGACGGGCACGAGGTGCGCGTCGTCGCCGGGGTCGACGTCGAACTCGCCGAGGAGCCGCGCGGCCCAGGCGTCGCCCGCGGCCGGGTCCTTGGACAGGAGGATCCTCACGTAGGCCGCGAGGGTCTCGGCGAACGCCGACGGCGCCGCGGCCCGCCGCGCCGGCGGGAAGTCGCGGACCCACGCGAGCTGCCCCGTCTTCCCCCAGTCGCCGTCGTGGAAGTTCGCCGTGCCGACGCTGACGCGGAGGCCGCCGCCGGCGAGCGTCGCGACCATCAACTTGGCGTGGGCCGTCGCCTTCGCGTAGTCCGCCTCCGGCGCCGCGACGACGGCGTCGCGCGCGCCGACGTCGCCGCGGAGCGCCTCGCCGTCGACGACGACGACGACCCGCGCGTCCCGGGGCGCGTGCGCGCGCAGGAACTTCTTCGTCTGCCGGGCCGCGTTCGTGCCGAACGTCGTGACGAGCGCGCTCGTCACGCCCGCGAAGAGCTCCCGCGGCGCGAGGTCGGCGGCCGACGCCGGACGCGAACTCCGCTCCAGCGCGTTGGCGTAGACGCGGTGCGACTCCGCGAAGCTTCGGGCCCGCGCGGCGGGAGGCGCGCGGGGCGCCGCCGCGTCGTCTTCGTCGTCGTCGAGTTCGACGGCGTTCGACGAGCAGCGCTCGCGAGCGGCGCCCGTCTCGTCGTCGTCGACGTCGATGTCGATGGCATTCGACGGGGAGCGCCCGCGAGCGGCGGCCGTCTGTTTCTCGTCGTCGCTGCTGCTGTCGTCCAGGAGGCCTCGCTTCCGGCGCTTCTTCGGCGGCTCGGGTGCCTCGTCGTCGGAGCTCTCTTCCCAGAAGGGCTTCGTGACCATGGCGACGCAGCGGACTGGGTCGGGCCACTGCGCGAACGAGAGCTCGTCGCGGCGCGCGGGTCTGGGCGCTGCCACGCTGCCGGAGAGCTCCGCACGAGTCGATCTCCACAAGCTTCACCGCGACTTCACCTCGCCGGCTCCATCGACCCCCAGGCAGGCCATGCGCTCCCTCCGGTGGTTCGCCGCTGCGCTGCGCGCCTCGCCGCCGCCGCGTCGTGCGTCGGGTCTTGGCCGCCGATCCGCGACCGCGCGTCGAGCACGAGCGACTCGGACTCGGAGGCGCGGTCCAGCGCGCGGTCCAGCGCGCGGTCCAGCGCGTTCCGCCGCGACGCGCAGTGGCACCTCAAGTACAGCGCCTCCTTCTGCGGCGCCGCGGCGGCGGCGCCGCCCGCGGAGGCCGCCTGGCCCGTGGTCTGCACGCCGTCGTCGTGCTACCCATATCTACTACAGTGGGCATAGGGGACGTGTAGAGAGTCATAGTTTAGTTCCGCATGAACGAGGGGGGGAGCGTCTAGTGTAAAGCTTACTGTAGGCAGGAGGGGCGCGCGCGCGACGGGCGCTTGAGACGGGCGCGCGGAACGCGAAGAGCGCGCGAGCGAGGGCCGAGCGAGCGAGGCGGGCGCGCGGTCCGCGGGGCGAGCGAAACAGTCCGCGAGGCGGTCCGCCGAGGCCTCTCCCGGAGAGAGGTGTGTCTCGACATCGCATGCTTCAAGCACATCTCTTCTGTCCAAAGGGTGGTGTTCGAAAACACCGGTTGTGGTTTGGGGCGGTCGTCGCCGCCGAGCGACGCGCGGCGGCGGGGCGACCAGGACGACGCTTAGGAGCGCTCGCCGCGGATGCGGCGCGCGAGCTGGATGTCCTTGGGCATGATCGTGACGCGCTTGGCGTGGATCGCGCAGAGGTTCGTGTCCTCGAAGAGGCCGACGAGGTAGGCCTCCGCGGCCTCCTGGAGCGCGAGGACGGCGGAGCCCTGGAAGCGGAGGTCCGTCTTGAAGTCCTGGGCGATCTCGCGGACGAGGCGCTGGAAGGGGAGCTTGCGCACGAGGAGCTCCGTCGACTTCTGGTAGCGGCGGATCTCGCGGAGCGCGACGGTGCCCGGGCGGTAGCGGTGGGGCTTCTTGACGCCGCCCGTGGCCGGGGCGGACTTGCGCGCCGCCTTGGTGGCGAGCTGCTTGCGGGGGGCCTTGCCTCCCGTGGACTTGCGTGCGGTCTGTTTCGTGCGGGCCATGGTGTTGTTTGGTGTTTGGAGGAGGTCCTGATAAGCTCGGCCGGCCGCCGGAGCGGACCTCGTGATCTCGTTTTTGATTGGTCGAATTTCTTCAGGCTTTTATTTTGAACTTCAAGTTCGTTGCCTGAAGATTTTCAGCCAATCAGAATCGAGATCACGAGGTCCGCTCCGGCGGCCGCCCGCGAGATCGACGGCCTCCCAGTTTTGCTAAACACAAGCAATCAACACATCTACATCATGTCTGGACGCGGAAAGGGAGGCAAGGGACTCGGCAAGGGCGGCGCCAAGCGCCACCGCAAGGTGTTGCGCGACAACATCCAGGGCATCACGAAGCCCGCGATCCGCCGCCTGGCCCGCCGCGGCGGCGTCAAGCGCATCAGCGGCCTCATCTACGAGGAGACCCGCGGCGTCCTCAAGGTCTTCCTCGAGAACGTCATCCGCGACTCCGTCACGTACACGGAGCACGCCCGCCGCAAGACGGTCACGGCCATGGACGTCGTCTACGCGCTCAAGCGCCAGGGCCGCACGCTCTACGGCTTCGGCGGGTAAATCTTCCCGCCGAGCCCGGGCGCCTCGACACCAAGACCAAGACCCGCCGGGCCGCCCACTCACACAACCACACCGGTGTTTTCGAACACCACCCTTTCGGAGGAAGACTTTCGCGGACCGCGGCCGGCGCTTCGAACATTCGCTCGCGGCGCGCCTCGCGCTTCGCGCTCGTTCGATCGACGGGGCCGCGCCGCTCGCGGGGTTCGAAGTCGGGGGCGTTAAGAACTAAGCCATAGTGCGCTGGTAGGAGGTTAGGGAGAGCTAGGAGGCATGCTCGTCGTCGCCATCGGCACGTTCCTCAAGCTGCTCGCGACGGTCGCGGCCGCGGGCCGCCGCCGCCGCCGGGCGCGGCATACGCGCCCATCCCCGCGGGCGACGACGGGGACGCTTAAAGAGCGCGGCCTAGAAGTCGGGGCGGAAGGCGAGGACGCGGGGGAAGACGGCGTTGGGGAGCTCGACGAAGACGCGCTCGTAGAGGCGCTCGCTGGACTCGGCGACGGCGCCGGGCGCGCGGAGCTCGCGGCGGAGCTCGAGGAACGGCGCGTCGCAGTAGGGGCGCCAGCCGCCCGCCGCGCGGACCGCGGCGAGGAGGTCGGCCGTGGCCGTGCGGCCGCGGTGTCGCACGAGGGCCTCGGGGTCGTCGCCGGAGTTGTTGCGCACGTCGAGCGACGCGCCGCGGCTCAGGAGGAGCTTGCACATGTTGGTGTGTCCTCCCATGGCGGCAGCCCGGTGCAGAGCGGTGTTTCCGTAGCGGTTGCGATCGTCGACTCGCGCGCCCGCGTCGAGCAGGAGGACCGCCGCATCGCAATGGCCGCGATAAGCGGCGTCGTGCAGTGGCGTCTCACCAGCTCTGGGCCAGCCAACGTTGACGTCGGCGCCCTGCTCGAGGAGCCACGTGATGGCCGCGCACAAGCCCTTCCGCGCTGCGTAATACAGGCGCGTTTCTCCACCTGCATTCTCCTCGATGCGCACGCCGTCGCCGTCGATCGTCACAGCAACGAGCGCATCGACGCTGCGACCCGAGGCAACCTGGCGCTGCGCCTCCTCGAGGAACGAGCGCTCGCGGGCGTCCATCTCGAGGGCCTTGACCTGCGACGTCCCCGGGGCTGCTGCGCGGCAAACAAATGAACACGTTGAACCCCTCGGGCCGCCAAGCCAAGTGCCAAAATAAGTGCCAAGCCAGTACTTTACAGGTCCCCCCTCGCTTCGAGGAGCTCGAGGACGCCGAGGGCGTCGTGGCGGCGCTGCGCGTCGGCGACGTCGAGGTCGCCCGCGGCGTCGTAGAGCCGCCGGACCTGGCGGATGTTGAGCTCGCACTCGCGGACGGGGTCCTCGTTGCGCGGGAACGTGTCGAAGTAGACGTGGCCGGCGAAGCGGGCCCTGCGGAGCCAGTAGACGACCTCGCGCGCGGCGAGCGCGTGCACGAATTGTCGGAATTTAGACGAATTTAGACGAGGCCCCTCTGAACTCGTCGAGTCAGACGAGGGGGTGTCCTTACGCTCAGTAGAGGGATCGCGGGCGCTGCGCCAGAACTGGATGACGTGGCCGAAGACCTCCTGCGGGATCGAGGCGGGCGCGCTGCGGAGGGACGCGCTGCGCTCGGTCTCGCGCGGGAAGAGGAGCGTCTCGGAACTGGAGCAGTAGCGGACAGAGGAACCAGCGAACAAGGAGAGTCTTCGAAGAAAGGGTGGTGTTCGAAAACACCGGTGGGGTTTGTGCGAGTGGCGCCGCGGCGCCGGCCGTGCGCGCGACTTATCGGACGATCGAGCGCGAGCCGTTCGACCGGGCCGCGACGAGCGTGGTCGCTTAGGCCGAGGCCTTGGACTTGCTCTTCTTGGGGAGGAGCACGGCGTGGATGTTCGGGAGCACGCCGCCGGACGCGATCGTGACCGTGCCGAGGAGCTTGTTGAGCTCCTCGTCGTTGCGGACCGCGAGCTGGATGTGGCGCGGGATGATGCGCGCCTTCTTGTTGTCGCGCGCGGCGTTGCCCGCGAGCTCGAGGATCTCGGCGCAGAGGTACTCGAGGACGGCGCCCATGTAGACGCCGGCGCCGACGCCGACGCGCGTCGCGTACTTGCCCTTCTTGAGGAAGCGGTTCAGGCGCGCGACCGGGAACTGGAGCCCGGCCTTGGCCGCCTTGGAGGTGCCCTTGCCACCGGCACCGGTCTTGCCCTTGCCGCGGCCGCCCTTTCCTTTGCCAGACATGATTCGAGTGTGTGTGTGTGTGTGTGTTTGGGATGTGCTGAGGAGAGCGCTCGACGCCGAGACGGACTTGGGATTCCGGGGCGGAAGCGCGCCGGGTAACGGCGTCCGACCAATCAGAAACGCGGGCTGGCTCGCTCGCGCCCCGGAAAAACAAGAGCTCGGCGCCGCGGTTGGACGTCCTCAGCAAAACCAAACACACTCGCAATCACCATGGCCAAGACTCCCTCCAAGAAATCCGCCAAGGCGCCCAAGAAGGCCGCCGGCGGCAAGAAGAAGAAGACGCGCGTCGAGTCGTACTCCACGTACATCTACCGCGTGCTCAAGCAGGTGCACCCCGACACGGGCATCTCCAAGAAGGGCATGTCGATCATGAACTCGTTCATCAACGACATCTTCGAGCGCATCGCCCTCGAGGCCTCCAAGCTCTGCCGCTTCTCCAAGAAGGCGACGCTCTCGTCCCGCGAGATCCAGACCGCGGTCCGCCTCATGCTCCCCGGCGAGCTCTCGAAGCACGCCGTCTCCGAGGGCACCAAGGCCGTCACCAAGTTCTCCAGCTCCTAGAGCGCGGATCTGACCTCGACGCTGCCACCAGCACACATCCACACCGGTGTTTTCGAACACCACCCTTTCGAGGAAGAATCTGCGGAAACGCGGGCGCCGCGGAGCCGCGGAGCGACGCGCTTCCCTTCGTTCGACGCCTCGCGCCGCGCTTCCCTTCGTTCGACGCCTCGCGCCGCGCTTCCCTTCGTTCGACGCCTCGCGCCGCGCTCGTCGACTGCTCTGGCGCGCGCGCCCGCCGCCCCCCTTCGAGTTGTAAGCACCGTAGTTATCACACAACCCCTGCGGTCCAGCGTCGTCGGCGCGTACAGGCCCAGCGACGCCTCCGGGCAGTTCATGTCACCACGCCTCCGCCTCCCCCCCAAAAGAACCACACTCACTAACCTTACAGCAGCTTCGAGATCGACCCCCGGTGCTTCATCAAGTTGCCCGTGAGCATCTTGTCGATCTCGAGAAGCGGCAGAACCACCCCCCTTTACGACCCCTTCTGCTCCTCGACGCCCGGGAAGGACTCGCGCGGCGAGTCGAGGCCCGACACGACGGAGTCCGCGGAGCCGCTGCGCCTCCGGCCGGGCATCGGGGCGCCGGCCGCCGCGGCCGCGGAGCCCGCGGAGCCCGCGCGGTCGCGGCGCTTCGTCGCCGACGACACGAGGCTGTTGATGCGCGCGAGGGGGTCCGAGAGCGCCGCGGCCATGGACTTGGGCGCCCAGGACATGGACCGCTGCTTCGCGCCCGCGCCGGGCCGGCGGCGGAACCGGTCGGGCGTCGCCGCGGGCGCCGCGGGCCCGGCCCGGAGCTTCGCGCGGAGCTCGCGGAGCAGGCCGACCCACTCGTCGCGCTGGTCCGGCGTCGCCGCCCGGAGCACGAGCGACAGCTCGCCCGCGAGCGCCGTGACCGCGAAGGACGCGTCGCCCGCGGGCGCGACGCGAGACACGGCTTCCAGCGGGACGTCGTGCGCGAGCCGCCGCTTCCAGGGCTTCGCCGCCTCGCCCGTGCGGAAGCGGCCCCGCGACACGAGCGTCGTCGCCAGCAGCAGCCGGTCGCTCAACGCGAAGGCCGCGAGCGGCCGCGGCCGCCGCCCCCCGCGGACCTCCTCGAGCGACCCCTCCTTCACCAGCGAACGGCTCGGCGCGTCCAGCAGGCTCTCGACGCCCCGCCGGCTCGCCGAGTCGCAGCGGCCGTGGATCTCCAGCAGGCGCTTGAAGGTCTGGTCCGTCCGCAGCGTCGCGTCGACGTGCTCGATGGCGACGCGCACCGCGGCGTGCGCGAGCCGCGCGTCCGGCAGGTCCGCGTGGTCCCCCGGCGTCGACTCCACGAGCTCCTTGAGCAGCTTGTCGTACTCCGTGACGCGCTGCACGGGCGCCGCGAGGTGGTAGGCCACGGCCGCGCCGTCGACGCCCGCGACGCGCGCGTCGACCGCGACGGCCGCGAGGACCGCGGCGTCCTCGTCCGACGCGCCCGCGGGCGCGGCCCCGGCGACGCAGGCCTCCAGCGCCGCGCGCGCGTCGTAGGTCTCGACGAAGCGCTGCGCGTAGGTCGCGAACATCTTCAGAAAGGGCCCGTAGCGCCGGAAGAGCGCGCCGAGCGGCGCGTCGCCGACGTCCGACGCGTCGGCGATGCCCTGCTTCATGTCGCCGTAGATCATCTTCGAGAAGCCGCGCAGCGCGTCGCAGGCGCCGAGCAGCTCCAGGAGCTGGCCGCAGAGGCCCGCGGGCTTGGCCGCGCCGAAGCGCTGCTTGAGCGGCTGGCGGTAGCGCGCGTCCATGGCCCCGAGCACCTGGGCAGGAAAAGGGAGATTCAATGTCGCTTCAACGTGAGTGTTCCGCGCGCGCGCGTTCCATAAAAAGCATCCACGCTTCGAGGCCGTTCCGAGGGATGATCGCTCGTCCAAAAATCAGCCGAAACGAGTGGAAAACGGCCGAGATCGGAGCCTGTGAAGTTGGGAATATGTCGCTCTCTTTTCCTGCCCTGCCGAGCACGTCGCCAAAGTCCTGCTCCGACGTCAGCAGGTCCAGCACGACGTCGGCGCGCGACCGCGGGCCCTCGGCGTCGTCGCCGTCGTCGTCGTCGTCGTCGGGGAGGTACTTGCGCCGGATCGCGGCGAGGAGCGCGTCCTCGGAGCCCGCGCACCTCTCGAGGAGGCCCTCGACCTCGGCGAGCTTCGACGGGTTGTGCGCCCGGTAGATGGCCTCGATCTTCTCGCGCGTCGTCGGCTCCGTGCGCTTCGCCTCGCCGCCGCCGCCGAGGTACTTTTGCCGGATGGCCTCGAGGAGCGCCTCCTCGTTGCCCGCGCCGCAGCGGTCGAGCAGCGCGTCCACCGTGTCGAGCTTCGCCGGGTTGTGCTCCGCGTAGAAGGCGACGATGTCCGCGCGCACCGCCGCGCGCGGCCGCACCTCGGGCGCCGTGTCCCGGTCGTAGAGGCGCACGTAGTCCATGTCGACGTTCGGCTCCATGGTGTCGTCGTCGTAGAATATCGTGAACGTGCGGCCGTCGGGCAGCGCGCGCACGACGCGGCCCCGGTACCAGATCGACCCCTTCTGCCAGCGCGCCTCCACGTAGTCGTCGACCTCGAACGCGCGGTAGCCGATGTGGTCGTAGCACGCGGGCTGGTAGTACTCGGGCGCCTCGACGACGTTGTGGGGCCAGCGCTCGGCGTACATCCTGCGCCGCTCGCGCCGCAGCTCCGGCAGGAGCTCGTCTTCGACGGGGTTGCCGTGCGCGTCCTTGCCGAAGAGCTCCGCGGGGTTCCGGTCGAGGCTGTCCTTGTACGGGTAGTAGCCCTCGCGCTTGAGCCGCTCGATGCGCGCGTCGATCTCCCGGCGCTCCTTCTCGACGGCGAGCAGCACGAAGTCGGGCTCGTCGTCGTCCGCCGGCTTCGGCGGCGGCGGCGGCGGCTTGGGCTTCGGGCCGAATTTCGGTTTCGGCGGCGGCTCCGGCCCGTGGACTTTCGGCGGCGGCTCCGGCCCGTGGACCGGCGCCGCTTTCGGTTTCGGCGGCGGCGGCGGCGGCTTCGGCTTCGCGGCCTTGGACGTCTGCTGCTGGAGCTCGTCGAACTCGGCGCGCAGCTCCGGCGGCAGCTTATCGCGGAAGGCCGAGAGGTCGACCATCGTGTCTCGAGACCCTGCCCCGCGCGAAGGTTGCAGCGCAACGAGCGTTGCAACATTCACCTGAATGCGACTCTAAACGTAGGACTCCCGTTGCAACTTTTACCACCAGGGCAGCTGGCGGTAGACGGCGTCGAGCGACGCTTCGTCGAGGTCGACGGAGGCGCGGATGGACGCCACGGCATCCTCGTGGTCCCGGACGACGCCGGCGCCGCCGGACTCGTGCGCGGCGCGGAGCGCGGCCGCGAACGCGTCCGCGTGCCGGAGCTTGCAGGCCTGGGGCCGGAAGTCGAGCGCGTCCCGCAGCTGGGCCGCGTCGTAGCCCGGCAGGGCGAAGGCCGGCCGCGGGCCCGAGAGCCAGAGCGTGAAGCAGTACCGCGGTCGCGTCGCGGCCGTCGTCGCGTGGACCATGTTGCGCGCGTCGAAGACGACGAGCCGCCCCGCGACGGGCTCGATCGACACCTCGTCGCGCGGGTAGGGCACGAGGCGCAGCGCGCCGCCGTCGTCGGGCCGCCAGCCCTCGTTGAGGTAGCACAGCACCGTCAGCTGCCGGTCGTCGAGATTCGCGGCCGTGTCGCAGTGGTACGCGAAGGCGCCGCCGCGACCGTCGTTGACCTGGAGCCGCAGCGTCTGGCCCGCGACCTCCGGCAGGAGCGGCGCGAGGCACGCGGCGAGCGTCCCGTCGTCGCGGAGGCGGCAGAGCGTCGGCGCGGCCGCGGCGACGCCCGGCTGGTGCGGCTCGGCCTCCCAGATGCCCTTCTTCAGCGTCGCGCCGTCGACGTCGTCGGCTTTGCGCGCGGCCGCGGCCGCGAGGCGCGCGCGGTTCGTCGCCGGCGCGTCCGCGGCGCCATCGCCGGCGACGGCGACGGAGTAGGACCGGTTCCGGATCATGAGGTCGCGCGCCCGGAGCGCCTCGAGCTCTTTTCGCGCCGCGCGGCAGAAGTGGAGGGGCAGCGCGCGGTCGACGACGGCGTAGCCCCGTCGTCGCACGGAGTCGACCGCGGCGGCGTCGACCGCGCGTCGCAGGCAGGCCCGCAGCGGCGCGAGGTCGTAGGCGTCCGCGGGCGCCGGTCCCGGCGCCGGTTCCGGCGGAAAGTCGTACAAGAGGCGCTCGTCCTCGAAGAGCGCGCGGAGCGCCGGCGCGACGTAGAAGCCCGTGACGAAGCGAATCGTCAGCCGATCCGCGGTCCGCGGCGCGTACTGGCCGCCCAACAGCTGGACCTCGCCCTTCAGGATGCGCACGAGGTGCGCCGGCGGGGTCCACTGGTGCTTGCGCCGGAGGTCGGCGAACCGCGCCGCGAGGTCCGCGTCCGCGGCGGGCACGGCGACGACGAGGTCGTCGGCTCTGTCGAAGTCGAGCCCGACGAAGGGGGGCACGAGAAGCTCCTTCTCGATGCCGCCGAGCGCGCCGTCGTTGAAGAACTCCACGGGGAAGACCCAGTCGCTCGCGCGCCAGCCCCGCGCGACCAGAATGATCGCGTGCGCGTCCTTCTCCGCGAGCTTCGCGACGGCCGTGCCTCGCGCGGACGCGTAGAAGCGGAGCACGTGGCAGACGCCGGGCACGTGGCGCGAGTAGGACTGGAACGACGAGCTCATGGCCAGGCGGTCCTCGTCGAGGTTCTTTTTGGCGACCCAGAGGCCGCGGTACATGAAGTCGCCGTCGTCGTCGGAGCGGTCGACGCCGAAGGGCGGCGGCGCGTGCGCGCCCGGCCCCCCGAGGGCGCACGCGGGCCCCGCGGACGTCGTCGCGAGCGCCTCGAGGCGCAGCGGGTGCCGGCGCGCTTTGCGGAGCACCTGGAGGGCGCCGAGGATGGAGAAGAGGAGCCACGACGACGGCGGATAGGTTTCCCCGCCGTCGAGCGCCGCTTCCACGTCCACGTCCTCGTCCGCGTCGCGGAGGCCGTGGAGCCGCGAGAGCAGACCGTACAACTGCTCCGTGTTCCGCACGTAGAGCGCCAGGGGCAGGGACACGCGCGTGAGCCAGGCCGGCAGGCGCGCCACCTCCAGGGGCCAGCCGTCGGGCGCGTCCTTCGAACCCGTCGCCCGCGGCCCGTCGACCGCGTCCATCCAGGGCGCGTTGGCCCCGTCGCCGCAGACCGCCGCGACGGCCTCGAGGGCGCGGCGCAGGGGCGACGGCGGGCTCACGGCGAAGGCCGCGCGCGCGCTGTCGTAGAGCTCGCGGCCGAGCCGCTCGTAGCGCGGCGCGTGAGCGCCCGCGTAGGGCGTCGCGAGCCGCTCCTCGCGGTCCGGGAGCGCTAAGCGCATGCCCGCGAACCAGGCGCCGCGGCCGCGCGACCGCAGGTCGGCGGCGAGCGCCGCGACCTTGGCCGCGGTCCGCTCCCAGCGCTTTCGGAACGCCGTCGCCGGCGCGGCCGCGGCCGCGGGCAGCGCGGCGCGCGGCGCGACGACGCCCGCCAGCACCTTCGCCGACACCCAGCCGCGCAGGTCGTCGGCGGCGTTCGCCACCTCCCAGCGCTCCGTGTCGCCGCAGAGCTCGTCGGCGAGCACGCTCACCAACGCGCCGGCCTCGAGCACGCCGACCTGCGCCGACGCCAGCGACGGCGCGGACCGCACGATGGCGCCCTTGCGCCCGCGCACGTAGGCGAAGGGCGGCCGCCGATGCATCGCTGGCATGAGTCTCGAGCGCCGTCACGCTGCCCCACTGAAGGTAGGCCACTCGACCATCATCCCTTCAGCAACTTCACGATGTTCCCTGCACTAAACCACGTTGCTGTATTCCTCTCACGAGCCTCTTCTTGAAGCGATGGCGTGCATGGTCGGGCAGCCTCCGGCTGCGGGCGCCGAGCTCTCGGATGGCGTCGCGTCCGTGCCGGGGCCGGCCGCCCTCCAGGGTGCCGTGGAGGTGCGCATCGACGGCCCGCGGGTCGTCGACTGCCGCGCGTTCCCGCTCGTCCTCGGGCCGGCGCGCGCGGCGGCCGCGTCCCCGGCCGACCGGACCGCCTTCGTCTCCCAGGAGCGCGAGGCCCTCGTCGCGTGCCTGCGGCGCCACGGCGCCGTCGTCCTGCGCGGCTGGGGCCCGACGTCGACGTCGCGCGACTTCGCGGACGTCGTCGCCGGTTTGTGCCCGGACGCGCACGGCGGCATGGCCTGCAGCGCGGGCGTGCGGCTGACGGTCGTCGACGGCGGCGCGACGCACGCCGTCGTGACCGCCAACGAGGCGCCGCCGGAGGACACGATCCCGTTCCACCACGAGATGGCCCAGTGCTCGACGCCGCCGAAGTACATCTGCTTTTTCTGCGAGCGCGAGCCGGCGACGGGCGGCGCGACGCCGCTCGTGATAAGCCGCCACGTGACCGCGTACCTCCGGGCGACCTTCCCGGACCTCTACGCGCGGCTCAAGGCCCGGGGCGTCCGCTACACGCGCGTGATGCCGCGCGAGAGCGACGGCACGAGCGCGCTGGGCAAGGGCTGGACCGTCGCCTACGGCGTCGAGACGCGCGCGGCCCTCGAGGCCCGGCTCGACGCCGAGGGCTTCGCCTACCGCTGGCTCGCCGGCGACTTCGTCGAGACGGTGTCGCCGGCGCTCGCGCCGTTCCGCCGCGACGCGACCGGCGCCGAGAACTTCTTCCTCGCGGCGGAGACGACGTTCAAGGAGGCGAGCGGCGAGGAGGCCGGGGGGACGCTGCGGCCGACCAAGGGCATCCGCTACGGCGACGGCGCGCAGCTCTCGGCGGACGACCTCGCCGCGCTCCGGGACGTCGGCGCGTTCATCGACGCGCGCAAGGTCGCCTTCGCGTGGCGCCACGGCGACTGCCTCCTCATCGAGAACGCGACGGCCATGCACGCCCGGGCGACCTTCACGGGACCGCGGCGCATCCTCGCCTGCATGGCCGGGAACCTCGACGACGCGTGAGCGGGTCAAACCACGCCGCTAATCGATCGCGAAGTGCACCTTGCGAGGATGAAAGTCGACATGCCAGCATCTGCACCAACGACTAAGTGTTAGTACCGCGCCTCCCGCAGCGACCCGGACCCCTGGCTCTGCTGGAGGCCGCTGACGCGGTCCGGCGGCGACGCCGGCGTCCGCGTCGACAGCGACGCGACGAACACGGACCGCAAGCCCGCGTCGATGCGCAGGCCCGCGTGCGTGACGTCGCCGCCGAAGACGATCGCGGTGCCCAGCGGCGGCCGCACGACGGCGTCCGGTTCCGATTCCGGCGGCGCGCCGTCGGGCCACGACGGCGGACAGGCCGCCGCGGACCAGTAGCCCGTGCCGCCGCCGGCGAAGTCGTCCGGGTCCGACAGCGGGATCAGCACCGAGAGGGCCATGTGGTCCTTGTGATGCCCGAAGCCGCCGCCCTCGGTGTAGACGTTGATCGCCGGCTCGCCCTCGCTCCACTCCAATTCGCCCATCATGTAGAGGTCCCGCAGCGACGCGCACGTCTCGCCGAGGAACTCGTCGGGCTCCGAGCCCTCGGAGAAGAGCCGCGATTTCGGCTGCCGCGCCGCCCAGCCGTCGCCCGGCTTGAACAGCGCGTCGTAGATCTCCGGGTAGTCGTCGTCGAGGATGTCGAGCACGCCCAGCAGCAGCGCCTCGCAGCGCTCGACGACGTCGTACTCGAACGCGAGCGCGTCGCTCACGCTGAAGCGGTTCTTGCCGTTCGGCTTCGCGCCTTGTCGCTCCATCGCGGCGACGCCGTCCGCGCGGAGCGCCTCCAGCTCGTCGGCGTCGGCGACGTCGCGCACGCAGAGGACGACGTCGCCGAGCATGAGCGCCTCGCCGAGCGTCCGCGTCGGGTGCTGCGCCGCGGCGGGATTGAGCCAGATCTCCTCGTCCTCCTCCGGCGTCTCCTCGTCCTCCACCGGCTCTTCGACGGTCGCTTCCACGTGCAGGCGCGTCGGCGGGCGCCGCGGTCGGCACGGTGCGCTGCGCTGCGGCGATGGTGGCGCGAAGCCGGCGACGATTGCCAGGAGGCAGAGGCCGCGCCAAGCCATTGCACTGCTGGTCAAACCAAAAGAATGAGCCGTGGTTGAACCAGCTCATGAAGTCTTATGGAGCACGTCATATTGCTGGAACCCACCAACTGAGCTGCCCGCCGGCATCGCGGCCATGCATCGCGACCATCTGAGCACCATCTGAGCCGCCGGGAGGCATCGCGCCCACCGAAGCTCCGGATCGCTGTCTCCCCATATGCATCTGGGCAGCCTGCTCGTCGCCGGCGTCGTACATGGCCTCGAACGCGGCGTCGCCGCCGTAGGCCGCGGGCTCGCGGGCGGCGACGTCGAGTGCCTCGGCCCAAAGCTCTCCCAACTCGAACGCTTCGACGGCGGCTGCGCCGACTACGACCCGGACGCCGTCGGCGCCGCGCTCCGGCGCCGGCGCGCGGGCGCCGCCGTGCTCTACCGGGGCGACGCCTGCCGGACCAAGGGCTGGGTCAAGCACGACTTCGCCGGCCAGATCGCGGCGAACCACCGGGCGGAGCTCTGGGAGCCCCTGCGCCGGGCCTTTGGGTTCGTGGAGCTCTACGGCCACGTCTCCGGGCCGGCGGCGTGCGTCGCGGCCATGCGAGGCACCGCGAACTGGACGCGGCTCGACGCCATAGAGACGAGCACGGAGCACTACAGTAGCAAGAAGTGGTTCAACGCGGGGCACGACTGGTTCAAGAACGTCACGAACGGCGCGGCGGGCTTCGTCGTCGTCGCGCGTCCCGACGTCGTCTTCCGGCGGCCCGTCGACGCGTTCCTCGACGCGGGCCGCCTGAACCTCTTCCACTTCGAGGACGTGCGCTTCGGCCGCGCCTGCGGCGCGCAGCAGCGTCCTGTGGCCGCGACGAGTTTCGAGAGATTTGGGGTGGGAAAACAACGAGAAATCGTCACCGTCGTGCTTGGTAGGCGCGCAGGCCCGCGCCTGCTTCGAGACCGGCTGCCACTGGATGAACAGCGACGCGCTCTTCGCGGCGCCGGGCCAAATCTACTACCCGCTGTCGGGTCTGAGCCGGAGCACGGGGCACGACCTCGTGGACTTCGCGCGGGCCTGCTGCGGCGGCGCGCACGTGCCGGCGGCGAAGTTCGTCACCGTGCTGGAGACGGAGGCGTGCCACAACACGCGGGCCTTCGACTGGCAGCCCTACTACTACATCTACGGCATGCTGTTCTGCGAGGCCGAAATCCGGCCCGGCGAGACCGCGGGCGAGACGTGCCTGAGCCTCACGCGCACCGCGATGACGGACTTCTACTACCCCGCCAACGCGACGAACGGCACAGCTCGACGGTAACCAGTCTACGCCGCGGGCTTCGCGCGGCCCAAAAGCCCGCGCGCGATGCCCGCGAGGCCCACGCGGAGCGACAGCCAGCCCAGCGCGGCGACGGAGAGCCAGCCCCGGAGGCTCCGGAGCTGGCGCGCCGCGTGGCCGCGCAGCAGGAGGCGGTTCACCGTCGCGAGGCGCCGCTCCGTCCGCCGCCGGTCCGCCGCGGCCGCGGGCGACTCCGGGAACTCGGCGAACTTTTTGGGCGCGGGCGCGGCGCGCGGCGCGCGGAGGCGGTCCGCGAGCGCGGCGACGGCGAGGCGCCGCGCCTGGCGGCCCCGCTTCGAGAAGCCGAGGCGCCACAACAGCCGCGTCGAGTCGAGGTCGTGCAGCGCGCGGCGGAGCGTGTCGCCCTGCGCGGACCCCAGAACCGTCTTGAGCGAGTCCAGCGGCGTCACGGAGCCCGTCCAGTTCGACGGCGCCGCCTTCGCGTCGCCACCGGCCAGATCCAGCAGCGCGTCGAGCCGCAGCTCGTTGCGGTCCGTCAGCAGCGTCTCGCGGAGCGCGCGCCGGCTCTCGGCCGTCGACGGGCTTAGCGCGCGCTGGATGGCCCAGGGTAACGCCGCGGTGTAGACGTTGAATTCCTCGTCGACCTGGGCGACGACGCCCTCGAGCGTCAGGAACGTGCGGATCAGCAGGATGATGTAGGGCGGCGTGCGCATCTGCCACCGCGTGCCCATCTTGAAGAGCACCGTACTTAAAGCGCCGAACTGCGACAGGCCCGTCGCCTCCGATTGCATGTTCTCGCCGAGCTCCCGCGTCAGACGGACGCGCAGCGCCTCGCCTTCATAAGAACCCTGGACGAAGGCCTCCCCGGGCGCCGGCCGCCACTTGATCGGCGTCTCGACGAAGCCCGTGTCGATGAACGCCTGCGTCAGGCTCTCCCAGTCCTTCTTCAGCACCGACTGGATGCCCAGCGAGAAGGCGTCCATGATGTCGTCGGGCACGGACGACATCAGCCCGAAGTCCAAAAAGGTCACCTTCCCGTCGTCGGCCAGCAGCATGTTCCCCTCGTGCGGGTCCGCGTGGACGAGGCCCGTCCAGACCAGCCCCGCCGTCACGGCCTCGACCGCGCGCACGCTCAGCTCCATCTTCTCGTCTTTGTCGAGGTCGCCGAGGTGGCGGCCCTCGACCCACTCCGTGGCGATGACCTTGCCCGACGCGTCGCTCGTCAGCTCCGGCACGACCCGGGGCACGCCCACGTACGGCAGGAACCGGAGCGAGTCGCCGAAATCCTTCGCGTTCCGCGCCTCGTTCCGAAAGTCCAGCTCCTGGACGATGCCCGACGCCACCCGGTCGAAGATCTTCTGCAGGTCGATCTCGCCGACGGCGCCGCTCCGCTCCGCGAAGCGAAAGAGCAGCAGGATCACCGCGGCGTCCAAAAAGCACTGCTTCGGCGCCGCCGGCCGCATGACCTTGAGCGCGACGTCGACGCCGGAGTGCGTCGTACCGCGGTAGACCTGCCCCAGGCTCGCGGCCGCGACGGGCGTCGGCGACAGGTGCCTGAGCAGCGTCGGTCCTCGTAGCGTGGCGCAGCCCGCGGGGACCGCGCCCGGCGCGAGCGGCCCGGCGTCGTAGCCGAGCTCGTCCGCGACGACTCGAAAGGCCACGGCGTCCTCGAAGGGCTCGTTGCGCGTCTGCAGCGTCTTCAAAGCGTCGCAGACGTCCGCGGGCAGGATGTCCTCGCGCTGGCTCAGCGTCTGGCCGACCTTGACCGCGAGCGGGCCAAGCGCCGTGAGCTCCGACCGCAGCGCCGCGCCGCGGTGGGCCTCGTCCGTCCACTGGGCTCGTACTCGTTGCAACGCGAGGCCGAAGGCGCCGACGCGGCGCGCGAGTTCCACCGGCCGCGCCATGCCAAAGTCCAGGATGCTCTGGCGGTCGTAGGCCGCCGTGCAGAGCGCGTCGAGCTCGCGGCGCTCCGGCGACATCTTCGGCGCGTGGTGGTGTGTCGTTGGGATCTGGGTCTGCTGCAGCGTCGCCGCGCGCAGCGCGGGCGGGCCGCGGAGGGCCTGCGCGGCTGCGAAGAGCAGCAGCGCATGTCCACGCATCATGTGGGAAGCCCGCACGTTTGGCCACGCGACGCCGCTTCGGCCGGCTCGGGCTGCTCATGGATGATGCAGTGATTGCAGTGGCGTTGCCGCTCTCGTTGCAGTTCGCAAGCACACTCTCGTCGTCACCGACACCGCTGCAGCCCTGCGCTCGCCCAACAGCAGTAACACGTCTCGATGAAGCCGCTCTTCATCGCGGCGACGCGCCAGCACGTGGGCAAGACGACGTGTTCGCTCGCCATCCTCAGCGGCCTGACGCAAAAGTTCGACCGCGTGGGCTTCATCAAGCCCGTGGGCCAGCAGCACGTGGCCGTGGACGGCTCCGACGTGCGCGTCGACAAGGACGTGCAGCTCATGAAGGAGTACTTCGGCATGGAGCACGTCGCCTACGAGGACATGTCGCCGGTCATCGTCCCGCGAAACTACACGAAGCAGTACGTCGACGGCGGCGGAAGTTTGCTGGCGGAGCAGAAGGCGAAGATCCTCGCGGCGACGGCGCGCGTCGAGGCGTCGTCGGAGGCCACGGTTCTCGAGGGCACGGGCCACGTCGGCGTCGGGTCGATCATCGGCGCGTCGAACGCGGATGTGGCGGCGTGGGTCGGCGCGGACGTCGTGCTCGTCGCCAACGGCGGCATCGGGTCCGCCTTCGACGAGCTGGAGATGAACCGCATCATGCTCAAGGACAAGGGCGTGCGCGTCCGCGGCGTCATCCTGAACAAGGTCCGGCCCGACAAGGTCGACATGATCCGCGACGGCCCGCGCCGAACCTCTCGAGCTCGGTCGCATCGAAGTCGTTTCGGCCGATTTTTGGACGGATCGTGTTCTCTCGGCGGGTTCTTTTGAGACGGTGAAAAAACTATACGTGCCTGTTGAAGTCGTGTGGCATATTTTTTGTTTCCCAGGCGACTACGTCGGCCGCGCGCTCCGCGACCGCTGGGGCTGCCCGCTGCTGGGCGTCGTGCCGGACCTGCCGTTCCTGGGGAAGGCGACGTTGGACAACTACGAGAAGCTGCTCGAGGCCGAGTTCATCTCGGGCCAGCGGCACCGCGACCTGCACTACGGCGTGTCCGATCTGGCGTGCGTGACGACGGCCGTGCGGCGGTTCCTGCGCAAGGCCAACTACCGGGAGACGGAGCGCAAGGACATGCGGCCCCTCTTCATCACGCACTGCACGCGGGACGACGTGCTCCTGGCCTTCCTCGCCTACTACAAGCGGTCGACGCGCGGTTTGGACGTGGAACACATCACCGAGTCGGACTGGCTCGGCGCGATGGTGCTGTGCACGGGCGAGTGCGAGATCACGGACCCGGCCTTCCAGAACGAGGACAACACGTCGCTGCCCTACCTCATGGAGATCGCGCGCGCCTACGACGCGCCCATCATGGTCACGAAGATGGGCACCGTCGAGGCGACGAACGACATGGCCAACTTCACGGCGAAGATGCACATCGGCGACCGCGAGCGCATCAAGGCCGCCATCGACCACTACCAGCCCCACATCGACTTCGACGCGCTGCTCGCGGGGTAAGCACGCGTAGGTCAACCGGGGGAGGGGGCAAAACCCGGCGGGAGCAGCGCGGCGAGGTCGCCGTCCTTGGACGTCGCGCACCAGGCCTCGACGGGGTCCGGCGACGGCGCGAACCTCAGGAGCTTCGCCTCGACGACGTCGTAGTCGCCCGGGTCCAGCGCGACCGCGAAGGCGCGGCGCCGCGCGGCCGAGGCCTTCGCGAGGTCCTGCTTCCGCTTCCGCCGGCGCTTCTTCCGCTCGATGACGTCCGGCGGCGGCTTTTGCTTCTTTTTGCCCGACGACGGCGGCGCGGCCGCCGCCGCCGCCGCGTCCGCGTCCGCGTCCGCTGCGTCGTCGGCCTCGAACGCTTTCATCGCGGCCGCCTCCGCGACCGCGAGATCTCGGAGCGCCGCCCCCGCGGCTTCCGAGAGGTCCGTCTCCGCGGGGTCTCCCCGGGCGCCGGGGAGCGCGAGCGCCGCCGCGACGGGGTAGTGGTCGCTGGGCCACGACGCGTTCGGCAGCCCCGCGGCGCGCGACGGCGCGTCGGCCTCGAGGCTCGCCCAGCGCGCGGCCGGCCGGAGCGCGGGCGTGCAGAGGACGTGGTCCAGCTTCCACGTCGCCATGCGCGGCGACGCCGGAAAGTCCGGCGCCTCGTGGTCGTGGCCCGCGCGCGTCGGCCCGAGGGGGACGCGTTGCAAAAGCCCGCCGCGGAGCGCCGCCGCCGTCCGCGTCCTCGCCTTGTCCAAGAGCTCGGCCCAGGCGCCGAGGTCGCCGTCCGACGGCTCCCTACGCAGCGCGACGGCGCACGCGCTCCGCCGCGCGGCGGCGCGCGCCGCGCCGTCGGCGCTCTCGTCGCCGACCATGGCGCCGAGCGCGGAGCCGGCGTCGAGCTCCGCGTTGAGGTCGCCCGCGATCACCAGCCGCAGGTTCCGCCCGCCGCCGAGCTTCGACCGCGCCGCGTCCATAATCCCGAGCACCATGCCGACGCGCTTCTCCTCGGAGCCCGCGTCCAGATGCGCCGACGCGACGGCGACCTCGGCGCCGTCGCCCTTGGCGACGCCGACGAGCACGCGCTGCGTCGCGTTGCCCTCGCCCGTCCACGCGACGCGCCAGCCGCGGCCCACGCAGACGCACGCCGCGACGGCCGTCGCGCGGCCGAGCACGCGCTCGTTGCGCTGCGCGTGGCGCTCGAGGTCGCGCGGCGGCGGCGGCGTCACGGTCCAGCCGGCGCCGAGCGCGTCGACGAGCCACGCGGGCGGCGCGCGGTCGTCGCCGCAGCCCTCGAACTCGACCTCCTGCAGGCACAGCACGTCGGCCGTCGCCGCGACGCGCCGCACCTGGGCGGCCAGCGCGTCTCGCCGCGCGGGCCAGGCCAGCACGTCGTCGGGCACCCAGGCGAAGGCGGCGAAGGGCTGGACGGCGCCCGTGCGCTTGTCGATGGGCCGCACAAACAAGGGCGCCAGCAGGTTGTAGCTCGCGACGACGAGGTCGCCGTCGAGGCGTTCCAGCGGTGCGACGACGGCGACGTCGTCGTCTGCTGCTCGCACGAGGCGAGCCATCGCACGCTGGCGCGCGAGCGAGAGGCGGCGCGGCCGTCGGCGCGAGCGTCGGCTCGGAGAGCAAGATCCACGAGAAGAGCTCGAGCTCGGCCGCCGCCGCCGGCGTCGCGCGCCGCGCGGCGCCCGCCTCCCCGCCTCCCTAGGAGCGCGTTACCCGCCGCTACTCCTTGTCCTCGTCGACGTCGTCGACCTCCTCGGCCTCGACGCCGTTGCCGTTCTCGAGGTAGCCCGCCTTGGCGCGCTCCGCGGCGAGCTTCTCCTCGCGCTCCGCGTCCTCGACGGACGTGTCGTAGTAGTCCTCGAACTTGCCCGCGACGGTGCCCGCGACGGCCTCGCCGGTCTTGGGGTCCATGTAGCCGAACTCGGGCCCCGTCGTGTCCTCCTGGGCCGCGTTGCCCGCCCAGAATTTCTCCGTGACGTTCGGCCGGAGCGTGAGCGGGATGTCCTCGTCTCGCCAGATCGGCGGCCACTGCTCGCCGACCTTCTTCGAGCCGGGCCCGTCGGGCCCCATGAGCGGCAGCTGGCCGTTGAGCTCGTTGCCCCAGGTCGACTTCTTCGTCTTCCGCTTGCTCTTCTTGACGTGGCGCGTCGTGCCGTCCAAGGGGAAAAACTTCACGCCGCGCATGTACATGCGGTGGTAGATGAGCTCCACCATGTCCTCGATCTCCTCCTCCGTCGGGTCCCGGTCCAGCACCTCGGGGTCCGGCAGGGGGTCCAGGAACTCCTTCTTGTACTCCTCCCAGACGACGGGGTTGCCCGTCACGGGGTCGCGCTCCCAGTCGACCGTCGGCTCGGGGCACTTCCGCGGCAGCAACTCCTCCGGGATCTGCGTCGGCGCGTCCTTCCAGTCCTCCCACTTGACGAGGTCCTCGGGGTAGTTGCCCTCGGGGAACTTGGGGTAGGGCGAGTAGTGCGGGCCGCGGAATATCGGCCCGAAGCCCCAGTCCGTGGGGTCCGTGGGGATGACCCAGGGGTCCTTCCAGGCCTCGGGCGTGCGGTAGACGCCGTGCTCGTCGATCCAGGCGCGCTCGTTGTAGACGAACTCTTCTTCTTCCTCCTCGACCATGCCCGTGGGCACGCCGTAGTCCATGTCGTCCAGATCCTCGTCGGCGAGCTGCTCCTGGAACTTGGCGATCTGCTCCGGCGTGTACTTCTTCGCCAGCGCCATCTTCTCCTTGGGCGTCATCTTCTTGAAGGCCTCGAGGTCGAAGTCCGCCATGGTCGCGGCGACGAGGGGGACTGCGCCGGCCTCAGACTTCCGATTTGATGGCTGCCGACAGGGGCAGCACCTTGCGGGGTTGAGTGCAACATTGTTCGAACCTCGCTCGCGGTCTCTGCGCGAGGGTGGTGCCGGCTCACGGCTGAAGCCCACTCGCGGACGCGGCCGACGGAGAGGGCCCCCGCCCGCGCCCGGCGCATCAAAAAACCATGGCGAAGGACGACGTCGAGATGAAGGACGCCAAGGACGACGGTAAGAAGGACGACGACGCGACGGTCGAGGAGCCGCCGGCGCCCCCGGACCTGCTCGTCGCCATCGAGAAGAACGTCGTGCTCATCGAGAAGGCCGTGGAGACGTCGCAGACGCGGCTCATGATGCGCGCGCTGCGGAACAACGGCCCCATCCGGAAGAAGGCCGACGCGGAGGTCCTCGGCCGCGCGGTCCGGAAGCTGCTGGGCCACGGCGGCGACGCGACGCAGGCGCTCGTCGCCGCGGCCCTCGCGGCCGTCGGCGCGCCGGCGGCGGCGCCCGCGGCGGCCATGGACGTCGACGGCGACGGCGCGCCGCCGCCGCCGCCCAAGGACGTGCTGCCCGAGGTCGAGATCTACGTGCTGACGCTCTGCGTGTCGACGCTCGTCCGCGGCCGCGACTTCGCCGCGGGCGCGGCCCTGAGCGCGCTCCTCATCCCGCGGCTCCGGGCCGTGCAGGCCCTGCGGCGCGCCCTCGACCCCCTGTCGGCGAAGGTCTACTTTTATTTCGCGCTGTGCCACGAGAAGCTCGGGAAATTCGACGACGTCCGCGCGCAGCTCTTCGCGGCGCACCGGACGGCCGTGCTCCAGCACCACGAGTTCTCCGCCGCCGTGCTGTTGAACGGCCTGCTCCGGGGCATGCTCGAGGCGAACCTGGTGGAGGCGGCGCTGAAGCTCGTGTCGAAGACGACGTTTCCCGAGACGGCGTCCAACAACCAGTTCTGCCGCTACCTCTACTACACGGGCCGCATCCAGGCCATCCAGCTCGACTACAGCGACGCCTTCACGAAGCTCATGCAGTCGTCCCGCAAGGCGCCCGCGAACACGGCGCTCGGGTTCCGGCTCCAGGTCACGAAGCTGACGCTGCTCGTGCAGCTGCTCATGGGCGAGATCCCGGACCGCAGCGCCTTCGACGGCGAGGGCATGCGCGGCGAGCTCGAGCCCTACCTGAAACTGACGCAGGCCGTGCGCCGCGGCGACCTGCTGGCCTACAACAAGGTCGTCGCGGACTACGGGGCCAAGTTCGCGCGCGACAAGACCGCGTCGCTCGTGCGCCGCCTGTCGCAGAACGTCGTCAAGACGGGCCTGCGCCGCATCAACGTGTCCTACAGCCGCATCTCCCTCGAGGACGTGAAGACGAAGCTCCACCTCGACTCCGTGCGGTCCGCGGAGTTCGTGTGCGCCAAGGCCATCAAGGACGGCGTCATCGACGCCGTCATCGACCACGACAACGCCTGCGTCAAGTCCAAGGACGTCGCCGACATCTACTCCACCATCGAGCCCCAGAAGGCCTTCCACCGCCGCGTCGTCTTCTGCCTCGACGTCCACAACGAGGCCGTCAAGGCCATGCAGTACCCGCCGGACGCGCACAAGCCCAAGAAGGCCCTCGAGGACGGCGAGGAGGCCAAGGACGACGAGAAGCAGACCGACGAGGAGCTCGCCAAGGAGATCGAGGAGGAGCTCGGCGACGAGATGTAGCGCGGCCCACCGTCCGCGACCGGCCGCACCCCGTCGCCCCGCTTCGCACTAAACACTCGCTTACGTCCTCCCGGCGGCGCGGGCCGCGCGCAGCGCGAGCGCGCGCTCCCGGTTCTTCCGCGCGCGCTCGCGCTGCTCGTCCGTCGCCGCCGTCGCCGCGACGGGCCGCGGCGCCGCGACGGGCCTCGGCGGCGTCGCCCGCGGCGGCGCGGCGACGGGCCTCGGCGGCGTCGCCCGCGGCGGCGCGACGGCCGGCCGCGGCGGCATCGCCCGCGGCGGCGCGACGGCCGGCCGCGGCGGCGTCGGCCTCGGCGGCGCGACGGCCGCGGCGTACGACGGCCGCGGGGGCATCGGCCGCGGCGGCGCGACGGCCGGCGGCCTCGGCGGCGGCGCGACGGCCGGCCGCGGCGCCGGCGACGGCCGCGGCGCCGGGCACTGCCAGTTCGACGACGACGACGACGACGAGACGAGCGCCGGCCGCGGCGGCCCGCGCTTCAGCGGCGGCACGGGCGGCCCGCGGCGCGGCGTCGCCGTCGGCGGCGGCCCCCGCGGCGCGGGCGCCGGAGCCGGCGGCGGCGCCGCGCGCGGCGCGGGCGCGGGAGACGAACCCCACGGCGCGGGCGCGGGCGGCGGCGCCGGCGCGGCCGCCGGCGACAAGCCCCAGGGCGCGGCCCC